ATAGAATTGTATCGAACAGGTTTGCAAATACTATGACATTTAAATAACCATGCCATTTTCAAAATATGCAGAGCACAAATTTCATTTAATTGATTTTATACCACACCAGTGGGCACTACAGGGACAATATAGGAATAGAAGCAAGCTGGAACTTCAGCACAGAGCTCCTTTCCTGTCATCAGCAGCAGAGAGGATTTGATCTTAAGAGTTTCACATTTGTCCAGAGAGTAAAGAAGAGTTCTGAAAATAAACCAAGCAGTTACACATTTTACTTTTCAACCTCCAATACACATACAAGCATTTAAGAAACTTTAGGTTTTGTTCATTTCTTGTTGTTGGCATATATTTTACTCTAATTGCATGGCATCAAAAATACCATCTACCCGGCCTGCCCGGTGGCGCAGCTGTTGAGTGCTGGGTTAAGAAGCTGCCCGCGGCCTCTGCAGTGCCGGTTCGATCCCTGGCTGCTCCCCGGCCACCGGAGGAGGGTCCCGCATGGTCCCGCATGGCGCGCAGACCTCTCCTGCCGCCCGCTGCTCCCCTCAGCAGTGTACTTCGGTCCTTCTGCCTGCTCTGCTCCCCGCTCTGGCTCTGGTGAATTCTCTCACTCTCCCGCGCTTCTGACTGTACCCAGTGCATGTATAAATAAATAAATCTTAAAAAAAAAAAAAATACTATCTACCTCTGTTGGCCTGCAAAACCAAGGATCTTTCTATGAATTTTTAAAAGTTTATTTTATCTGGACATTGCCATAGACTTCCTTACTAAGTAGGCTTTAGTTAGGATTCCCCAAGCTCCCCTTTTCAACGAGGCTTCATTGCCCCGCCTCTGGCTGGCCTAGAACAAGAATACTGTCAGGGAATTCAGTAGAGACCCTTTCCCCTGATATCTCCTCTCAGTGATTTCCCACCCAGTGACTTGCTCACCCATTATAAATCCCCAGCTGTCTTTGCTATATCAAGGGTGCAGTTAAATCTCCTCTTTGCAATAATCTTTAAAGGTTTTATTTTTTTAATTAATTTGATGTATTTTTAACATTTTTCATTTTTGTACAATGTTTGCATTTTCATCTTGGTTATAGTCACCGTAAAATTCCCTCCACCCATTCACCTGTGAACCATCACCATGGACCCTTGTGCTCTTCCCACCCTGTAGTGTATCTCTGGTTTATAGTTCCTGTTGATTTTGATTTTTACTTTATTATAATTAGTTTTTTTCCTGATCACCATAAAGCCTTTTTGTTTTTTTTTTTAAACAAGTCTCAGAATAATTTTTTAAAGAACATTGTGAGGCTGGTTCTTAGGGACTTTGACCATAGGGGGATCTAGATCTGGGATTTAGAGTCCATCCATACATGCTGAGATCTTTTTTTGTTGTTTATGTCCTATATATCCTTGAACAAGTTAGATGAACTTGTATCCTCAGATGGTGACCATGAACATGTGCTCTGAACCGACTTCACCATGAGGATATGTTCACATGTGAGAACCTGCTCAAAGTATTTTTTCAGCTGTAACCTCTGCCCAAACTGAAGTGACTGAGAATTCTATACCCCTAGGACAAGAATTACACATTTATTTTGGGGGCATTGGTACATGCTGAACATGACGCACAGTCTGTAAACTTACCACTTGCAATTCTGGCACAGCAGATGGGCTGACTGGCAGGTGATATGAAGGTAGAAAAGGTATGGTAGAAAAATTCATATGATGCTTTTTCTTTTCCCAGTCTGTAGGTTCAGATAGCAGTCTATGTCTCAGTGAAACTCTGTGTTGTAGGCTACTGCCATCAGATTAAAATAATGATAGACTTAAAAGTGTCAGCCAGCTTTACGGACCAGGATCTCATTCAGTTAGGCTATGAGTACCCTGAATTCTAGTGACCAACATCTCACAAATACTTAGTCCAATGATTCAGCCATTTCTGTTGAAAATTTATACCCTAGAAGTTACAAGTGCTGCTCATACCCTGTAAAAAATTCCATTTAATTTGCTGTTTCAGTGTTCATTGACCTAGGTAAGAGCATAGCATACTGAATATTGTTTTCTAAATCAGAACACAATTGTATGTTGTCCCTGCAGCATGACTCTAACTCTATAGTCAACTGATACCTAGGAAATTCTAAGTGAATATATAGTCTCCTTACTCTGAAATTGTGGTCCTTGTACAAAGAATTAGCCATCAATTTAAACAGGAATAAAATAAGTTTCTTTATACCCCCAATTCTTGCAAAGTAATGGCAGATTCTCTCACAATGTACTGTGGTATCAAATGGTTGCACTAAGCTCTCTGTTAAATGCAGCTTTGACCAGCTCTATGACTCTTTAGGGAACTGAATGTTTAGGTCACCAAAAATTTGATTTCAACTAGATAAAGAAATGGAAAATAGCATGCTAGATGTAGTTTTGCCAATTAAATAAACTTCAACAGTGTGAATGATCCCATAGGTTTATGTAAAAAAAGTTTTCCACAAACCTCTGGACAAAACTTATTTAGAAGATGGTATTCTAATTTATATACCAATGCAGAGGTCACACAAACCTTTGACTTAGTCCCTATGTGTCTTCAGCAGCACCATCTTTAGACCAACCATGGTAAAAAAATATATTTAAAAGACAGGAGAGCCTCCCCTGGTGGCGCAACGGTTGAGCGCTGGGCTGTGGGGCTGCCTGCAGCCTCTGCAGCGCCGGTTCGTTCCCCGGCCACCGGCGATGGTCCCACCAAAAAAAAAAAAAAAAAGGAGAAATATACTCTGGGCTTTTTCTGTTAACTTAAAGCATTCTCCATCTGATTGCCAACAAGTTTTCAGCTACTGAGTAACTCATAGTAGAGCCAAAGGAATTTGAATTTCCAGGGTTCATTAGGCGTTCACTCCATCTATGCTGTGATTGTCTCATTATCTAACCTCTTCAAGAAGGGAAGGGACTTGCCTTATCTTGACAGTAGTCAATCTTCCGAAGGGTATAGGTCCTACTCACTTTATCCCTAATCCTTGCTTGATTTGAGCAAGTCAGAGATTTTGATTGAAACTGATTGCCTGCTCAACATTAAGAACCATCCTGCTATCATATTATACCTTATCCAACAGTTCTGTTAAATTACTATTCCTGCTCGTACTCTTCCAGTGAGCTGTTTTTAGTTGTAATAGGCAAAAAAATTTCCTTATAACCTTCTGAACATTTTATTACCTTCTCAGCTCCTGATTGGTACTGGATCACTGGTAATTCTTGATTGTGTTTTACATATGAGCGCCGCAAACCACAGGTGACATTTAAATAACTAAGTTATTTAAATGGTTTAAGATGTTATTTCTACTTAACTAAAATTAAAAATCTAGATTCTTCCATCACCTTAGCTATATTTCAAGAGTTTAACTTCTGCATTTGGCTCATTGCTTCCATATTTGGAGGGCATAGATATAGAATAATCTCATTATCATGGGAAATTCTATTGGGGAGTGTGTGGAGAGGAAATCATAATTGCCACAAAATAGGGTGGTCTGGGAGTAGAAACTTAAATGGAACCAATCGATTGAATCTGTACATTGGGTCACTTCTGCCAGTAGTTACACTATCTGGATTAACAAAATCAACTGCAATCTTTGGTACATGGGCTTGAATATTAATTGATTTGTATTATTGATTCTCAACTCTGGCTGCATATTAGAATCACTTACAGAGAATTGTTTAATTGGTCTGCGGATGTTTTTTAAAAGTGTCACAGGTGAATCTTATTTTGTAGGTAGACTTGAGAAGCAGTGATTTAGCATATTAGTTCATTTTAATCAAGAGTCACATAATATACAGGTGGCATTATTATCTGGGTAGTCCATAGGACAAAACTCTTGAGGCTGGAATGAATCCAGTTTAGACAACTCCAGCAATCTACATTCATAGGGCAGAATGCCAGACAGAGCTAAAACTTATGTTGGAAATACAATTAAGACAGAAGCAGAAAATTCGCTGTGCTTATAACACAATTATTTGCAACTTGTGGTAACACTTTTCCCATTCATTTTTGTATATATATTTTCTCTAAAACCCTTGCCCGAATGACTGACACTTTTCATCTTTACATTACCTCTGAGACCATTCACAGTTTCAGAGAATAGTTATTAGTGAGGAATCAATTTATTTTTGACTGTTCTTTAATATGCTCAATTCATGGTTTTTTCTTACTGTAGAAGTTATACATTTTTATTACTATATAAATAGTAACTAATCTTTACAATAAGATATGCTAGAGGACAGTCACTATTTTTATGAATTTGATTTCACTTCATATTGTTTTTGTAGAAATCCCGTTTCCTTTAATTTTTGAGAAATTCAGAGATCAAAAATATTTAGATTAATATTATTGGTCATTGCTCTAATTCTTGCTGGAGAAATATAGTAACATTTAAGGTAAAATGGGATAGTTTATAAGTTTAAATACCTATATCAATGATAATCCAGTTTGCAGCTAAGACAATCAAAATATTTTTCCTCTCTAGGACACAGTAAAAATGTGCTTAATAATATTTTAATATTACTAACATATGATTGACAAGAGTCATGTCTTTAAAATGCTTAGCACTTGTATTTTGTGTCATTACAAATTCTACAGAGTTTGCTCTATACATATCAATAAGGTTATTGCCATAAGGCAATTTTCACTGTATATTTACTTTCTTGTTGAAATTGGATGTACAGTGTTAAAACATTAGCATTTTGAATAAACATGTTTTATCATTTTTTATTTAAAAGATAACAAATATTTTTTAAAAATTGGAAAAAAGGCAAAGCATTTCAAACATTCAAACTCACCTTTTACTGCTTATGGTCATCCATGACTGGGCTTACCCTGTTTATCCAGGGTATTTCTCACTATAATTCAATAAGCACATTCACTCAATGCTATTTTCATAAGACATTTACACTTGCGCAATTTTCACTGCTGTCTCCATGCATTTCTTCATATTATCTTGCTCAGATTTCATGTATTCTTGAAAATATGGTGGAGTGGAGATTTGAGGGCAGCAGTATTTAACACTTTAAAGAAAAGTTATTGTATAATTAAAAAGAGTTTAACTATAGTTGATATAATTTGTATTATATGTGACATCATGGAAAACAGAATATCACATTTGAACAATAGTAACAATAGAAGTGGAAAAACAATACATAAAACAAAACAATACATATAGAAATGGTATAGGGACATCTTAATCCAGAAGAGTATGAATACAGCACAAAGGCTTTACAATTTTAACTTGCGTCACAATAACCCGGAGGACTTGCTAAAAGAGATTGCTGAACTTGAATGCCTAAAACTGATTCAGTAGGTGTGATGTAGATTCCTATGCTGCTATCCCAGTTACCACACTTAGGGAAATTCAAAATGTTCAAGTTCTGTGCAATATTGTTTTTTCAAATATGTAAATGTACATTATTATCTGTGGTACTTCCAAAAATCACCCCGTTTTAAATGAGAAGCCAATTTGTGAACTACATAAGAAAGAGATCAAAAGAAATTAGTGTCAGGGAGGAAGTGGCAAGCCCACTTTAAGTAGCAGACTCATCTTTGGAAACTAAGACTAGATCATAAAATATGTCTTTTGATTTCAGTGATGTTTGTTGCAGCATTGCTGTTATAGAGAAGAAAACTAAAAACAACCGAAGTGCCAATATAAGAAAGGCCTATTAAATGAACTATGGTATACTCAAATATTTAAGACTTAAAAAGAATTAGGTTGATTTGGATGTACTGATGTGGAAATATTTTGTAATATATTATTATGCTTAAAAAGTAAGGGTGCAGAAAATATATATGATTTCTCTGAGTAAATAATAATACAGGGCCTCCCTGGTGGCACAGGCGGTTGGGCGCAGTGCTGTGAAGTTTCCGCAGCCTCTGCAGTGCCGGTTCAATCCCTGCCGGCCTCGGAGCAACCCACATGGCAAGCAGACCTCTCCTGTCTTGTCCGCTGCTCCCCTCAGCGGTGTATTTTGTGTCTGCCTGTTCTGTTCCCTGCTCTGTCCCTGGTGAATCCTCTCACCCCTCCTGCGCATCTGGCCTGTACCCCGGTTCTTGTATAAATAAAAAAATAATAATAATACAGGTGATTTCAGCAGGATGGAAGGTTAGAAGATTCAATGTCTCTCCTGTAAAAACAATAAACAACTACAAACCAATGAAAGGAAAATAGTTCGGGAAAAGGTCTGCTACTACAACCAAAAAGCAGCAGAAACCTGCAAAGCTTAAAAAACAAAGATGGCTGCATAGAAAAGCATTGGAAGGGGTGTCCCTGGTGGCCTAGGGGTTAAGTCTCAGTGCTATCACCACTACAGGCTGAGTTATCCATGACCAGGGAGCTAACCCACATGGCGCAGCAGACCTCTCCTGTCTCACCCACTGCTCCCCTCAGCAGTATATTTCAGTCCGTCTGCCTGCTCTGTTCCCTACTGTGTCTCTGGTGAATCCTCTCACCTATCACACCACACCTTTGGCCCACACCCCAGTTCTTCCATGCAAAAGAGCACAGGAAGAATTTTGCCTGAGTCATCTCACTGCCCAGCTCCTAGCCCCTAGGAGGGATCACCTGGGAGACATTCCCCCCACATAGGGAGAGCAGGAGAATTCCAGCAAGTTTTACAACTGTGGATATATGCAATATCTCTACTTAGGTACTCCCACATTTGGCACCAATGGTGCTTCCAGTTGATGGCATTTCCTAGACTCTCTTCTTCTGTTCTCACCTATACTCCACCAATCTAATTCCCAGGCTACAACTATCACTGTGAAGAGACCTGCCTCCGGGAGCCTCAGTCACTGTGCTGGCCATAGTGCCTCACCATCTATGGAACCACTGGTGTTGCGCTTGCCCTGGCCCCATGTTGGGGCTTTGGCTTACTATTACCAGGTCAAGCTTCTTTGAACTCTACTATCTGGTTCTTGACACTTATTTTTAATGGGTCATTACTTGGATGTTTTGCTGCTATTCTGTAACTTGTCCCCTGAGGCCAGAGTTGGACATTGACCCACTACTCCCAAACCCTGCTTCTATTGCCCCCTGCTTCTGCTGCACCCTTTCGCACCCTGCTTCTACAATCATCATGGTACTGTATTACCCCAGAGACCCATACTGCCACGTCTCCTCCTCCTTACTTCTAGTCACTAGAATGAACCCCATGGACCCAGACCTACACATACATATACCTCAAACACCAGTGTCACTACTGGTGCAAGTGTACCTATGCCTCAGAACCCAAGCCCAGCAACAGGTCCATGCACACCTGATCCCAGGACTGGCTCTGCTGCTGATCTGTGCATACCAGACCTACCACCAAGATGGATTTACTTAGCTAGAACTTCCTCCAATGTGTAAAAAAAGAAGAGGAATCCAGAAACCTTAACTTCCAGGGATCCTAATAGCTCTAGCTACCATTGCCACCCACAAGAACACTGCACTTACATGGGACTCCCATGGTCTTCTGCAACCTTAGCTAATGGAGCTGCACAAAGAATATGCTGCTGTGCTTTCCTAGAAAGCACCCAGTGGTGTCCTCAGAATCACCTTCAAGTGAGGGATTTATCACTGTTAGACCTGCCTTACAAGAAATGTTAAGGGGAGTTTAAGCTAAAATGAAAGAATGTTAATTACCATCATGAAAACATATGAAAGTATAAAATTCATGAATAAGGATAAGTATATATTGTCAAATGAAAATACTTGAATATTGCATACATACAACTGTATGCACTGCATGCTCTATATGTACGCTAGCATATAGGTTAAATGACAAAAGTGTTTGAAATAATACATATATAATATTTTATTAGTGGAAATACAATTAAAAGATGTAAATTGGGACATCAACGAAGTAAAATTACATGGGGCAGTAAATGTATAGAATATTTTGTGAAATTGAAGTTAAATTTATCAGCTTAAAATAGGCTTTTATAAGTATAAAATGTCTTAGGAAAGCCTTATGGTAATCCCAAACCAAAAAAATTATGATCACAAATGATAAAGAAGAAATATAATCAAACTATATCACTATAAAAAAATCATCAACTCACAGGAAAGACAGCATGAGAGGAAAAAAAAAACTATTTTTAAAAAGGAATGAAGGTAATAGTGATAGTAAGTTCATACCTATCAATGATTACTCTAAATATAAATGGCTTAATTTTCCAATTACGTTGTATAGAGTAGCTGAATGGAAAAAAAAACACAAACAAGATCAAACTATCTGCTTCATACAAGAGACTGCATAAAGGACACCAAGTAGCTGAAAATGAAGGGATGGGCAAATATACTGCATGCAATTGGAAATAAAAAAAAAAAAACAGGGATAGTTATATCAGACAAAATAGACTTTAACATAAAAATGGAGATGAGACAAAGATGGTCACGACATATTGCTAAGGGGTCATTTCCTCAAGAGAATTATAGCACTGTAAATATATGCACACCAAATAATGGGTCACAACTTTTGGCTCATTTCCCAGATTGTAATGGTTTTCAGTGATTATTTCTTTAAATAGGTTTTCTATGCTTTTCTCCTTCTCCTTCTGGGACCCCTATCATATTATTTCTAAGTTGTCCTATAAGACTCTCATACTGTTTTCATTTTTAAAGTTCCATTTTTCTATATCATTCCATTCTCATGTCCTTTAACATAATGTTTTCTGAGCTCACTATTCTCTCCATTGCTTCGGTTTGTCATTGAGTCCTTCAATTGTATTTTTAAAATTAGTTATAGTTTTTCTTAGGATCATTATTTCCAATTGTAGCTGACTCATATTTTCATCTTCTTTATTCTATTGAGACTTTTACATCCTCCATTGTTTTTTGAGTCCCATCAGCATTTCCAGAACTGTTGCCCTGATTCCCCTTTTGTCATGCTCTATAAATTTGCAGATTTGGGGGTCCTTTCACAGTTTCTTTTTTCTTCTGACATTGATAATGTGCTCTTCTCTCATTTTCAATGTTTTTACTTGATTTAAAAGGGATGTGTTTTTAAAAATTTTTTTAATTATTTTTTTTTATTTTACATCATTGTTCATTTTTAAACAATATTTGCTTCCCCCCAACCCTTTAGGTGTAGTCCCCATAGAGTTTCCTTCACCAGTGCACCTGTGCACCATCAGCAACTGGGGGACTGGTACTGGTGAGGGGGAGTAGGTATGAAAGAGGACTTCTACTCTAGGCTACTTTTAAGGACTGGATGCAATGCTGGTTATGGATTGCAGTTCATATGGAGACACAGGCCAGGAGTTACTCTCTTTTCCTCACCAGCACAGTCTTATTCTAGGATGTCCACCACTCCAACTGAGTTCTAGTTTGTGGGAGTGTTTCTTTGTGGGGAGTAGAGGGTGTTTTGGACGTCTCAGCCAGGTGTAGGGGAAAGGTGCTTTGGATCTCAGGCTGGGCTTTGGATAATACCTACTCGATACGGGAGTCCTGGTACTTTGACCTGATTCAAATTTAAGTTGTTCTGTGTTAAGAGCCTCAGATTCAAGCCAGGAATCCTCATTCTTGCCCCTACTTCTGCAGCTCTCCTGCAATGCCACCTCCATATTTGGTGCCTTCTCATGAACTCCTTGTTTAGTATAGTGCTGGGTCTCAGCAACTCCAATATTGGCATTTGCTGAATCAATGGCTGTAGGAGGCTTTGCACAGTAGTTACCCATCCTGATTTTGGGTTGTACTACCCTGTTATCACTCTAAATGAAGTTCAATGAAAGTTTTTCTATCCCTTTCCATTGGATCAAAGCTACTATTGTATGCTGTGGTAATGAGTTTTTCCCTCGGGACTTTTTTTTGTTTTGCTTTACAGCAATTAGGTGGTGAGTATCTGGATGATGTCAGTCAGGTATCTTACTCTGCCACCATCTTGCTCTACTCCACCAACTTTTATTAAGATTCACCAATTAAAAATTAAATTATTAATAAAATTATAAATGAAAGAGGAGAGAATGGAATCAATACCACAGAAATATAAAGAATCATAAACACCACAATGATTACACATCCACAAATTCGGTAACTTAGAAGAAATGGAAAAATTCCTAGAAACATACAACCTACCAAAATTGGAGTATGAAGAAATAGAAAAATATTTCAGTAACAAGCTAGTAGGGTGAATCAGTAATCAAAAATCACACAGGAAATAAAATACCATGTCTTTCACAGGTTATTTCTGTCAAACATATAAAAGGGGAATTACGAACAATCCTTTTCAAATTTTTCCTTAAATTAGAAGAGTAACACTTCCAAACTTATTTTCTTTTTCGAAGCCAGCAATATTCTGATACCAAAGACAGATAAGGACACTATAGAAAAAGAAAACTGCAGGCCAATATCCCAATATCCCTAAAGAACATACAAGCAAAAATCCTCCTCAAAATATTAGCAAATAGAATTTAAGAACATATCAAAAGGATTACAAACCATGGGATTTTTCCTGGGAATGCAAGAATGGTTCAACATTGACAAATCAATAAATGTATGCTACATTGACGAAGAATAAAAATAATGCAATTACTTCAATAGACCATGGTGCTTCCTCCTTTCTTTGTTCTTTCCTATCCTCACCCATTTCCCTCCTTCGTGCTTCAGTTCTGTAGTCAGCTATCAAGGGTTAGTTTTTCAGCTTGCCTTTATCTGACTCTTAGTTACTTCATATTTCACATGTTAGTGACACCATCCACTATTTATCTTTCTCTTTCTGCTTATTTAACTTACCATTATCCTTTCAACCTCAAACCAAGTTGCCACAGTGGCATGAGTTTATCCTTTTGGATCACTGAGTGGTATTCCATTGTGGGTATGTACCACATTTTCTTGGTCCACTCATCGGTTCTGGGGCACTTAGGTTGTTTCCAAAGTTGAGCTATAGTAAATAGTGCTGCAGTAAACATGGGAGTTCAAGTTTCCTTTCAAATTAGTGTATAGATGCCTAGGAATGGAGTCACTGGGATGAATGGCAGATCCCTGTTTACTGTTTTGAGATACCTCCATGCTGCTTCCCATAAGAATTGGACCAGTTTGCATTCCCACCAGCAGCATAGAAGGGGGTTCCTTTTTCTCCACCTCCTTGCCAGCACTTGTTGTCTCTGGTCTTTCTGAAATGGGCCATTCTCACAGGTGTGAGATCATATCTCATTGTGGTCTTGATTTGCATTTCTCTAATAATAAGTGATTGTGAATACTTTTCCTGTGCCTATTGTTTTTATCTGACTCTTAGTTTAGGTATTTCATATTCCACATATTAGCTTTGTATCCAGTATTTATATTTCTCCTTCTGTTTATTTAACTTATCATTATCTTGCTTATTTCACTTATCATGTGCCTGTTGATAGTCTAATGTCTTATTTGAAAAGGTGTCTGTTGAGTTCTTTTGCCCATTTCTTGATGGACTTGAGTGGTCATTTGTTGGGTTTTTCCTTCTGTCCATTTTAGCTTTGGGACCCAGCTATTGTATGTGGGGTTTCTTTTGGGTGTGGTTCCTACCCCCTCACTGATCAGGGGCTCATCTATCTGTGCAAACTACTGGCAGGATCTCATGGGAGGATGTGGGATCTCTGGCCACTCTGACTCAATCCCTGGTGTTGGTCAAGGTTGTTGCCAGTCTGCATGGTGCTAACACTACCTTATAGGTAGTCACAAGGCATTTGTATGTCCTGGTGGGCATTGGCATACTCCTGTAGAAGATCATGAGTTTCTGCTGGTATGGGCAGGAACTGGCTGGGTCCTGGGTAAGGTCAAAGGGCTCTAGCTACTCTGGCTCCCTCTCTACTGCAGTGTGGTCTCACCAGTCTGGGTGGGACCTGTGGAGTCTCCCAGGAAGTCCCCAGACTTCTGATGGTTTGGGCTGGGGATGGCAGCTTTCCCCCTATGGGTTGAGGTCTCTTGCCACTCCCTCAAAATTGTATCAAAATTAAAACATTATGAAAATGTGCTCTCTTAAAGTCCCCTCAATGACATGGGTGCCAAGGAAACACCTCAAGTAATAACCATAGAATTATCTTTCAAGCATCTGAATTCTTTTAAATATCAAAATAAGAAAATAAGACGAGTTCCAGGGATGCATGTCACTAATTTCTATTGGAAATATTATCTACTCTTTTCACTAAGTGTTCGTCAGATATTACCTGAGTACTAGTCATTTTTGTCTCAAGTGGTTGTTTACAATGATTCCTTTTGCAAAACAGAACATTTTATGATAGCAATTTTGTAAAAATAGAAGTGAAATGTGTGCAAAGAATAAATGCGTGAAAGAAATACACATAGTACATATGCATTACATATTCATATTAATATGCAAATATTGTTCTATACAGCTATTTGTGTGTGTGTGTGTTCTTGTAGAAATGTTTAGAAAAATGTACTTGGCCCATAACATTGAGCAATGGTTTCCACTGGTTTGAAATGATTAATAAATAGAGGCAATATAAATATAAGACTTTATTTCATGTAATGTTTTAAAACAGTGAATTTTTTACCTTTACATAGATAGGTATTTTAAAAGCAGAGATCAGAACAGGCAGAATATTTGTATGTTCATTTTGTTGTTTTAAGATCCCATTATTTGGCTGCCCTAAAAAAATGAGAAGTGTTATGAAATTATTCTATAAATGACTTGATTTCACCTTTAAGCAAGTTAAAATAAATCTTAATAAATCTGAATTACAGTTTTTCCCAATAATTTAGATAAATCCACTTAACTAACACAAATACCCTTTCTCTGGTGTTCCCTTTTTTTGAATATTTTATATTTATAAACAAAACCAAAAAGACTGCAAATCAAAAAAGAAATGGTAGAAATGGATATATAAAAATGTCTTGGAAAGAGCTTTTGTTTTTTTACAATGGGATATAAATATACATGTGCAATTACACCAGTAAATTGTCAGATAAAGCATTTTGTTATAAAAAACATAACATTAGTTTAAAAAGGAATTTATAATACTACAGCGAAAAATTTTAATGCTAAAATGAGGGAGATATGCATAGAAATGCTATAGAAGAAGATAATAATTTTGACTACAGTTAAAAACAAAGCCACAGTATAAGGAATATAGTTTAGATGACACTTTCTCAGTGTTGAATTTCTATTATTATATATTACACAGAAATGAAACAGTCAAGACTTCCATTTCTAAGGCAAGTGTTTACTTGAAAGGAGGGAGGGGAGGGATTGGGGTCAAAATGGGTGGGTTGAAATTGTATGGGGAATATAAAAATAAAATTTATTATAAAAAAAAAAGTATATCTGCCAAGATTTTTATATTGAAAGACTTGCTGATTTGATAGAAACTACAAAAATAAAGGATGTAGTATCATTATGACCATTATTTATGATACAACTGCTATAATAGATTATTTAGACAATTTCTTAATTATCACTCTCCTCTTTGTTGTTACTTTAGGATAATTACTGCTTATAATTAATATATTAAGGAAAAGGGTTTTAGTTTAGAAGAGGAAACCCAAATCAGAGATAAACCTAGGTGCTACATAAGTAGAAAGTAGCATTGGAGGAGATATGAAGTAGCACTATAGGAGATATGAATATAATGGCAATTACATTTCTCTAAAATATACTGAAGGTTACTGATCTTACTGTCGGGCATTTAGTAAGAAGAAGGAGATAACCTATCTGAACATAGATGGCATATTATAATTCATTTTTAATTTTGCATATGATTTGATTGCCTAATTATGTCTTATTTCAGTTAACAGTCAAATTTATTTTATGTCTGAATTACATATCCCAAAATGGTCAATGGTAGCTAATGGATATATATAGTAGGAGATAATAAGGATGCAGATTTATAATGAAAACAGGCCAAAGTATTAATCATAATATATATATTTAGCAAACATAAGAGACCAAAGAATAATCATCAGCAAAATACCCAGATCAAAGTCAGTGTCTGCAGTAAATGTCCTAGGGTCAAGATTATATATTGCCCCTGGAATTATAAAAAGATATTCTATATCTTATCCTCTGGATAAGAAATGAAGTGTACCCACCAGCCCCCACCTGGACTGGTGAGGCTCTGGGCCCTGTCAGGGAGGGAGCCAGAGTAGCCAGAGACCTCACAACTTTTGGAGGAAACTTGCCAGACCAGCAGAAGTCTCATGCCTTTCTGCCAGTCCCATAGGGCACCACGCAGACTGGTGAGACCCTAAGCTCCCATCAGGGAGGGAACCAGAGTGGCTAGAGACATGAAAACCTTCCATGGGCCCTCGCCCCCACTGCCCCCTCCCCCCGACCAATAGGTCTCTTGACTTCTGCCAGACACTACCAGTGTCTATACAAACCTATAAGGATTTTGGGAGGGTGCCAGAGCAGGAAGAGGCCTTGAGAGACCCTGAAAGCCCACACCCAGACCAGCAGGGGACTCATTACCTCCATCAGGACCCAGCCAGCACCTGCTCAGACTGGCAGAAGCCTCCTGACCTTCTTCAGCACCTGCCTGAATCTACAAATGTTTTGTGACTTTCCATGAGATCTCGACCAGCACATGCAGCCTGGTGAGACCCTGACCAACAACATGGAGTGAGTCAGAGTGGCCAGAGATCCCACAACCTTCCATGCGATCCTGCCAATAGTTGGCCCAGATAGGCGAGACCCTGATAAACAAGGGAGTAGGAACTACAGCCGGAAGAAACCCCACCTAGAACAGCTGGGTTCCAAAGCTAAAATGGACGGAAGGAAAAAACCAACAAATGACCACATGAGTCCATCAGAAATGGGCAAAAGAACTAAAGAGACACCTCTTTTGCTGAGGTGGTGTTGGGTTCGCTATGGTGGTAATACCTGATGGCAGTAACCCTGTGTTACCTCATTTATAAAAATTATCAATGAATTACAAAAACAAAAAGTGGTCTGTAAATTAGTTCTTAGAACATGAATGGATTTGAAAGTTTGGTAGATAGGAAAAGGAAAAGGAAAAGCATTTTCCTTTTCCCTGCTTCCCTCATGTTGAGGCCTCCTATTGGAGACCCTGCCTGAAATTGGACATATGATGGATATATGAATGTAATGAAGGGGATTATCAGATGGGCTTACTTCCATTATTTGTAGCATCTATAATACTGAATAGGAAAGGAAAGTTGAGAAAAGAAATGGAGTCTCAGTTTAGGAGTGATGAAGAAGGAAGAGTCATGCCAGGGGTCACTGTTCTTTCTCTAAGAATGTATTATTTTGGATGAGCTTAATTGAGTATTTAACTTCTACTTATGTATTTCTAATCTGGTTGTATGACTAAAGTTAGTCAAATCTGGTTATTTTAACATAATTAAAACAATAGCAATTACAAAATTTACATTGCATCATAAGAGTTTTAATTATCTAAATGCTCTTTATTCAGTGAATGAAAGTAGATAGCTCTGTCAATGCTTGAATAGTTCCTAGATCTTCTAGGAAGTAATTTTGAATGTTCACTCATATAATGTGAAAAGTACTCATAGTTCTCTAGAAAAAAATTTGAAAATGTTAGTTGTAAGACTGATCATACTTAGAATTCTTTTTAATAGTAATTTACTTACCAAAAAACATAAAAGTAATTGAAATAAGAGAAATTAATTCTTTGAGTTAATTTATTTGATTAATGTTATACATATATTCATATATGGCTAGTTATGGGTATCAGACCTATTGATGATTGAAAGAAGCAAGCCCCATAAGGATATATACAAGATACCATTTCTATGAATAATCCCATTAAGGGTAATTTTTATCAATATAGACATTAGATTAGTGGTTGTCCAGGCTGGGAGAGTAAGAAGACAGGAGGATGGTAACTAGGAGTGTGGGGGTTTTTTCCCACATAGTAAAAATGTTCTAAGTTAAATGTAGTGATGGAAACAAAACTCTGTGACACTGTATTTCACACTTTAAATCAGTGAATTGTATAGTTATAGAAATTCTATATGAACAGGGCTCTTAAAAAGAATAAAGCCTTTTTTAAAAAGACTTATTTATTTTTGCATAGAACTGGGATGTAGGCCAGAGGTGTGGGGGATGAGAGCATTCATACAAGACTGAGAGGGGAACAGAACACTCTGTTCTACTGAGTGGATCTACTGAAATACACTGCTAAGGGGAGCAGTGAGTGAGACAGGAGAGGTCTGCTGCACCACATGTGGGTTAGCACCCTGGCCAGACACTGAACTCAGGCTGCAGTGGTCATAGTGTGATAGCACTGAGACTTAACCCCTATGCCACTGGGGAGGCCAAAGAAGAACACTTTTTGTCACAAACAATGGAAAAGAGAAGGAAGATGACAGTTAAAGTGCTAAAGGCAAAAATTTAATCCAAGAATTTTATACTTAGCAAAACTACTGTCCAACAAAGATGAAACAAGGACATTCTTAGCTAAAAGAACCAAAGAAACTGGGTTGTTATATTAGCAAACATGTCGTTAAAATACTAAAAGGAATACTTCAGATTGAAACAAAATGACACTAGAAGGAAACTGAAATCCACAATGAAAATGAAAACACCCTAAAGGTAAATTGTATTAAAGGTAAATACAAAAGACTGTATTTCTGCAACTAACTGGTTAAAACAACAATAGCATGAAACTGTTAGAATAGCCCTCCTACTCTGCAAGGGATACACAGCAAGACTCCCTCTGCATGCCTGAAACAGGGAATAGAATACAATGCTCCATGTCCTATTTTTTTCCTATAGATACATACCTATGATAAAGGTTAATGTATAAATTAGGCAAAGTGAGAGATTAACAATAATAATAGTAAAATAGAACAACCATAGCAATATGCTATAAGAAAAGTTATGTGACTATAGTCTTGTAACACTGCTATTTTCATATTGCGTTTCTCCTCAAATTGATTGAATGATTGAATGTGACCCCATGACAATACTACAGAAGGCTGTGTTTTGCAGAAATTAACATGAAAAAAATTATATGAGAATGTAAAAGATTTACAATAGACAAAACCATGTGTATGAACAAATATATAACAACAAGTAGTACAACCTAGAAAATACAGATAAATTCTGAGAAACATAAAATATACCAGATTGAATCTTGAAGAAATAGAAAATATGAACAGACTGAATACTAGCAAGGACATTGCATCAGTAATCAAATACTCCCAGCAAACAAATCCAGGGTCTGAGAGCTTCACTGATGAATTTTACCAAGCCACTTGAAAAACAATTAATACTAATAATTTTCAAAATCCTCCTGAAGATAAAAAAAAGGAGGGACATTTCCAAACTAATTTTATTGGGCCAAAATTACCCTGATACAAGATCAGATAAGGACACCACAAGTAAAGAAAACTGCTTAATGTATATTAAAAGAAACAGAAGACACAAAGAAATGGAAAGATACTCCTTGCTCACAGATTGGAAGTATTAATATTGTTAAAATGACCAGCTTACCCAGAGCAACATACAGATTTAATGCAGTGCCTATCAAGGAATAAATGGCATTCTTCAAAAAAACAGAACAAATGAAACTACAACACAGGTAATCTTTGACAAAGGAGCCAAGAGTATACATTACAGTAAGGAGATTCTCTTCAACTAATGGTGCAGAGAAAATAGACAATCACATGCAAAAGAAAGAAACTATATCACTATTTCACATCATATACAAAAATTAACTAAACAGTGTATAAAGATTTGGATATAATACCTGAAACCAGGAAATACATAGAAAGCAGACAAAACACTCCTAAGTCACTGGCTTCAGAGATATCATTGGGGACTTGACACCAGCATGGGAAACTTAAGCAAAAAGAAACAAATGGGGTTAGCTCAAAACAAAAAGCATCTGCACAGTGAAGGAAACTGTCACTAAATGAAAAATATATGCACTGACTGGAGAAAATATTTTTATATCATACTTTTAATAAGGGAATAAAATCCAAGATCTGGAAAGAATTCACACAATTTAACAAAAATAAAACATATAATAATAAAAATATGGGAAAAATGATTACTTCTAAAAAAGAGCTAAATAGAAATACAGACATTCAGATGATCAGCAGGCACATAAAGAAAATGCTCATCATCACTTAGATTGAGGGAAATACAAATAAAAACCACAATGTGCTATTAACTCACACTCATGAGGATGACCCTTATCAAAAGGACAAGAAACTGTAAGTGTTAGCAGGGCCTGAAAAAAAATGAAGCCTCATACATTGTTGGTGGGAATGTGGGCTGTTCAGCCTGTATGGAAAATAGGATGGAAACTTCTCATTTTATTGGAAATAGGTCCACCATATTATCCAGCAAATCCCCCCCCCATGTCTACACAAAATAATACTAAAACACTAATTGTAAGGGATATATGCACTCTTTTTTTTTTTTATTGCAGCTCTATTTGCAATAGCCAAGATATGGAAACAGCCTAAGTGCCCAAAAACAGACCACTGGATTAAGATGTGTTGTATATACACAATGGAATACTACTCAGCTATAACAAAGATAAAACCTTGTGCTTGGTGACAACATGCATGTGACTGCAGGACATTATGCTATGTGAAATAAGTCAGAAGAAGAAAGCAAATGCTGGATAGTTTCACTCAAATGTGGAATATAGGGAAATCAAAAAAGGGCTAGATAAAACCAAAACAAAGACAAACCCAAAGAAATCTTATTGTAAATTTAATGTGGGAAGGTGGAGGATGAAGATGGGGTGATAGGAGCCCTAGAGGACTACGGTGGAGGATTATGGAATCCTTGGTAGTGGGCATGGGATGGAAACATCTCTTTTGCTGTACAGAAGCTTTTTAATTTGATATAGTCCCAGCTGTTTATATCCTTGTTTCTGGAGACAAGCCTCAAAGATGTTTCTGAGGTTTATGTCTTGGAGTGTTTTGCCTGTGTTTTGTTCTATAAATTTTATGGTTTCATTTCTTACATCAGTCTTTTATCCATTTTGACTTGATTTTTGTACATGGTATGAGATCATAGTCTAATTCCATTCTTTTGTATGTGGCAGTCCAGTTTTCCCAGAACCATTTACTGAAGAGGATTTCCTTGTGTATATTCTTAGCTCCTTTGTCATAGATTAATTGGCCATTCATATGTGGTTTTATTTCTGGGCTTGTGTTACAATTCTATTGATCCATATGTCTGTTTTTATTGGAGTATCATGCTCTTTTTTTTTTTATTACACCTTTGTAGCATAGTGTGAAGTCTGGGAGTATAATACCCTTTTTTAGTCATGAGAGCTTTGACTATTCAGAGTTTTTTGTGATTCCATATGAACTTCAGCAAAAGTTTTTCATTTCTTTGAAGAATGCCATTAAGATTGCCAATGCAATTATTGGAGTTGCATTGAATCTGTAAATTGCTTTAGATATGATGGGATTTTTATAATGATGATTCTCCCAATCCATGAGCAGGGAATGACTTTCCATTCCTTTGTGTCTTCTATTTTTAACAAAATTTTATAATTTTCTGTGTATTGGTCTTTCACCTTCTTTGTTAGGTTTATTCCCAGGTACTTAATTTTTTTTTGTAAAATTGTAGCCGGGATGATTTTCTAAATTTATACTTTTTCAGGGTGATTGTTTGCATATATTGATTTTTGTGTATTGATTTTGTAACCTGCTACTTTACTAAACTGGTTTATTATTAGAATTAGCTTTTCTGGGTTTTTTTAGGGTTCTCTATTATCATAATTATCTGCAAATAATGGTAGCTAAACTTCTTTCCCAATTGTATTTCTTTTATGTCTTTCTCTTGCCTAACTGCTCTAGCTATGACTTCCAGAATTATTGAAAATCAGTGTGAGAGTGGATATCCTTGTCTTTTTCCAGATCTTAATGGAAAGGTTTTCAATTTTTCACCAATGAGATGATGTTAGTTGTGGGTTTGTCAAATGTGGCTTTTACTATGTTAAGATATGTTCCCTCTATACTAAGTTTTTCAAGTATCTTTATCATAAATGTATGTTGAACTATCGAATGCTTTCCTGGCATCTATTGACATGATCATATGGTTTTCATTTTACTTTTTGTTGATGTGGTGAATTATGTTTGGGTGTTGAACCACCCTTGTGTACCTGGAATAAATTTCATTTGGTCATGGTGAATAATCTTTTTGATGTATTATTGGATTTGGTTTGCTAAGATTTTATCGAGGATTTTAGCATCTGTATTCACTAGGGTGACTGATTTGTAGTTTTTTTTTTTTTTATGTGTGTGTGCTGTTTTGTTGTTTTTGTTTGTTTGTTATTAGTATGATGTTGGTCTTGTAAAATGTATTTGACAGTATTCCTTCTTTCTCAGTTTTGAGGGGTTTTGCAGAATAGGCATTAGTTCATCATTGAACATTTGGTAGAACTCATTTGTAAAACCATTTGGTCCTGGCATTTTGGTTTTTTGCAAGAATTTTGATTGATGTTTCAAGTTCATTGCTTTTAATTGGTTGGTTCAAGTTTCCTATATATCCTTTATTCAACATTGACTGTTGTATAACTCTAAGAATTTTTTCATCTCTTAATAGATTGTTGAACTTCTTTGCATATAATGTTCACAGTAATATCTAATATCTAATTATCCTTTGGATTTCTATTGTGTCAGTTGTAATTTGTTCTTTTTCATTTATGACCCCACTTGAGTTTTCACCCTCTTTTTCTTTGTAAGTCTATCAAGAGGTTTGTCTATTTTGTTTTATTTTTTTTCAAAAACCAGCTTTTGGTTTCATTCATCTTTTGAACTGTCTTTTTGATTTCTATTTCATTTAATTCTGTTTTAATTTTTATTATTGCCTTTTATCTACTGATTTTTGTGGGTTTTTTTTTGTTTGTTTTTGTTTTTCTTTTTCTAATTCCTCAAGATGGGAGGCTAGGTTGTTTCTTTGGGTTCTTTCTTCTTCTTCTTCTTTTTTTTAAGGTTAGGTTTATTAAAATAAAGCAAGGTAGAAGATACTTTCACAGACATAAGTGGGCAGGAAGAATTGTTTCTTTCTTGTTTTTTGATATGGGTCTGGATTTCTATATACTTTCCTATAAATATTGTTTTGCTATTTCCCATATGTTCTAGAAGATTCTGTCCTCATTATTGTCTCAAGTATATTTTAATTTCTTCTTTGATTTCCTCATTAACCCAGTGGCCTCTCAGTAGTGTGTTGTTCAGTCTCATGTAATGGGGCATCTACTTGCTTTCTTTTCATAGTTGATTTCTAATTTGATACATTTATGGTCAGAGAAGACATTTAGTATGATTTTGATCATCATGTACTTGTTGATATTTGTCTTGCGACCCACTATGTGGTAATTTCTTGAGAATGATCCAAGTGCACTTGAGCAAAATGTGTTTTGGCTTTTGGGGTGTGCAGTGTCCTATAGATAGATGTCTGTTTGGCCCATGTAGTCTAGATCTATATTTAGAGATATGTCTTTGTTTATCTTTTCTCTATTGTTTATCTTTTCTCTGTTGTGAGAATGGGGTGTTGAAGTCTCCTACCATGTATGTATGTTCTCCAATGGCTGTTTTCAGAGATGACATTAATTTTCTAATGTATTTTGGTGAGCCCTCATTTAGGGCCTCATTTAGGGCCTCATATATTGATGAGTTTATGTCTTCCTGATGTATTGTCACCATGACCATTATATAGTTTCTATCTATGTTTCTTGTCACTTTTTTTTTTTTTAGCAGGAAGTCTATTTTATCTGATACAAAAAAAAAGTATGGCTATGCTCTCTCTTTTAGGCACCATTTGCTGATAGAATTGTTTTATAACCCTTTACCTTGAGCTGTTTTTGGAGTTTAGATGTCTCCTGCAAACAGCAGAAAGTTAGATTCTGTTTCCTAGTCTAACTGGATACCCTGCATATTTTAATTGGTGAGGGACCTTCATCAACCCCCTGGTGAGCCCCCATGACTCCATGCCCAGCCACCAGTTCCTTTAGGTATCATTTAGTAACACTCAGGTGGGCATAAATAAAAAAAAACAAACCAAGAAACATACAAAAACAAAAAACAACAATTTGTATGACTGATGGCTGTGCACAGAAAAGTATTTTTCCAAATATTTTTGGAGAAAATTTTAATTTTAATAGCTCTTAGGAAAACAATAAGTATCTTATAACTTTAGAAATCCTGTATGCTTTACCATCTCAAATGTGGGACTCTACCCCAAAAAGAAGCAAAAGTACCAATGTAAAAGAATATTTGTTCATAGACACATTTAAAGGTGATGAAAAACTAAATAGGTTATGCCCTTTAAAATAAGAATAACTACATATAGAACTCTATACTATACAATATTTCATGAATGAAATGAAGCCATTTCATTTTCAGGCTTGCAAAGATTTTCCTAATATACTACTGAAAAAAAATAAGATACTATATGAGTAAAATTTAAAAATACCACAAAAATTATTTGAGCAATTTGGTACTTACTTTATATTTTTACATATAAATTTTACCTTCTTTGCTAAATGGTGATAAATTTATCACTTTTGCTGGAAATTGACGTGTGACATCCCTGGCAAGTGAATCTTGATGCGGTGTATTCATATGTTTGGTTTTAAAATATTTCTTACCTAAAATTTAATTGAGAAAGAAGAATTACATTAAGTCCCTTCAAAACTTACAATACATAGAAAAAAACATATGACAAACACACCATGACATAAGCTTCATGGACTCACCAGCAAGGAAAACATAAGAGAGTATAAACTGGAACTACATCATACTAAAAAGGTTCTGCATAGTGAAAGAGACCGTAACTAAAATGAAGCTACAGAATACTGAGTGGGAGAAAATATTTTAGGGACAGTTTTCAAATATCAACAAATAACTCATATAATCAACAAAAATAATAAAGTAACCCAATCACAAAATGGACAATGGAGTTAAATAGGAACTTCTCCAAAGAAGACATACAGCTGGCCAACAGGCACATGAAAAAAATGTTCATCATCACTTATTATCAGGGAAACAGAAATCAAAACCATGCTGAAATACCACCTCACACCAGTGAGAATGGTCCGTATTAAAAAGACCAGAAACAACAAGTGCTAGTGAGGGTATGAAGAAAAAGGAATTGCCCAATTATCTTGGTGGGAATGTAGAATGGTCCAGTCTCTATGCAAAGTACTGTGGAGGTTCCTCAAAGGACTAAAAATGGACCTGCCAAATGACCCAGTAATCCACCCTACTTATCTACACAAAAAAAGCACAAAACACTAATTGAGCAGGAAACTTGCATTTCCATGTCCATATCAGCACGGTGTACATCATTTAAATAACCGAAGTTCACAAAAACAGATGAGCAGTTCAAGAAATGTGATGTATATACACAATGGAATATTACTAAGGAATCAAAAAGATAACCTCATGGCAATTGTGGAAACATGGATGGAGCTGAAAAGGATCATGTTAAGCAAAATAAGGCAGAAGTAGTAAGATAGATATAAGGTGGTATCACCTATAAGCAGCATTTAGAAAACTCAGAATCAAAGACAATCTTTAAAACCAGCCCTTGAATGCTGACCATAGATCTGTGACTTTCAGAGGGGAAGGGTGATTGAGAAAAGGGAGAAGGGGAGAGTAAAATGGACTACTGTGGAGGATTACAGGTGGTTTGGTGGTGGGAATGCTATGGTAAATACACTTGAGAGGGGAAATACTATACCATCAAAACACTAGCATGATGTAAAACAGCAATATTTCATAATAATTTAAAAAATTGAATGTCTATTCCAGTCCTTTGCCCTTTGCATTGATTTTTTTGTTGCTGTTATTTTTGTTTTTCTAGAAATTCAAATGAGTACCTTATATACTTTGAATATTAACCTCTTACCTGATAGGTTTGCAAATATTTTCTCCTATTCCAAGTTTGCCTTTTCATTTTGTTGATGGGTTAACAAATACACAGAAAATTCAGCCATCAACAAATGAAAAGGCAAACTTGGAATGGGAGAAAATATTTGCAAACCTATCAGGTAAGAGGTTAATATTCAAATAGATGACTGGATCAAGAAGATGTGGTACATACACACAATGGAATATTACTCGGCAATCAAAAAGATAAACACGTGCAGTTTGCAACAACATGGATGGAGCTGAAAGGGATCATGCTCAGCAAAATAAGTCAGAAAGAAAAAGAAAAATACCAGATGGTCTCACTCATAGCAGGAATCTAGAAAACCCAAATAAGGGACCAGGAAAAAAGAATAACTATAAGAAATAAAAAATCAAAATCAACAAACCACTATGAACCAGAGGCACACTATGGGGGGTGGTGGGGAAAGGAGGAATTGGGGTCAAAATAAGGGGGTTGCAATTGTATGGGGAATATAAACATAAAATAAAAAATATTTCTGTGTAGCAGTGTTTTTGTCTAATATTGTGCTGACTTTTGTTCTTGTTGTTTGTGCTTTGGATCTAATGTCCAAAAAACCATTACCAAGACCAAGATCAAGACCAAGATCAAGAAACTTTACCCACTTTGTATTCTTGTGGGACTTTAAGGTTTTAGGGTTCATAGTGAAGTCTTTAATACTTCACGCTAATTTGGTTAAGATATTGGTCCAATTTCATTCTTGTATATGGATTTCCCAGCACCATTTATACAAGAGACTATCATTTCCCCACTGAGTCTTTCTAACCTCCTTATCAAATATTAGTTGTAAATATATGTGAGGGTTTATCCAGGTTATTGATTCTATTCCACTGCTTCATGATCTGTTTTTATGCCAGTACCATTATGTTCTGAAACTATGGATTTAGTGTATTGTTTAAAAAAAGATGTCTCCAGTTTTGTTCTCTCACAGGATTGCTCTGGCTATTCAGGGACTTTGTAGTTCTAAACAAATTTTAGGATTTTTTTTTAAGATTTATTTATGCATATAAGAACTGGAGCACAGGACAGAGGTGTGGGAGGTGAGAGGATTCTCCAGAGTCAGAGTGGGGAACAGAACAGGCAGACTGACTGAAATATACTGCTGAGGGGAGCAGCCAGTGAATCAGGAGAGGTCTGTTGTACCATGTAGGTAACTCCCTAGCAGGTGATTGAACTTGTGCTGCACAGGCTAAGGACAGCTTCTTAGTGTTGTGCTTAACCCCTTGCACCATCAGGGAGGCCCCTAGAACTGTCTTTTCTAAGTTGGGATATTGATGAGGATTAAAATGAATCTATAGATGGTTTTGGGTAGTATAAACATTTAAAAGGTATTGAATGTTCTGATACATGAACACAGGATATCATTCCACTTATTTGTGCCTTTTTAGTTCCTTTCATCAAAATACTACATATTTCACACTTTAGATAGTTCTTGACCTTAAATTTATTACCAAATTATTTTTATATGTTATTGTGAATGGGATTGTTTTCTTTCTTTTTCAGATATTTCAATGTTAGTGTATAGAAATGCTAGGGACCCTGTAAACTGGTTTTGTTTCTAGAAACTTCACAGCATTGATTCAGAGTATATGAGATTAATATATATGATATCATAATATCTATAGTCACATAATATTTTGCTTTTCCCTTCCATTTTGAATGTTTTTATTTCTTTGTCTTGCTTAGATATGGCTAGAAAGTTGAATAGGAGTGGGTAGTGTGACTACATTATTCCAATTATAGAAAAAATCTTTCAATGTTTCACCACTGAGTATGATGAGAGCTGTGGGCATGATATCTATGGCCTCATTGTATTGAGGTGGCATGGTTCAGCTGTTTATTCTGGATAATTGGGACCTGTTCCACAAGTTCCCTGTCTTAACAATTATAGTGCTTTTCACTGGGTACAGTCACCTCTGCCTATCTAATGGACTACTTCAGCAATATTCGGCTATATAATTCCAAGTCTTTTACACAGAAGATATATATATTTATATATATATATATACATACACACACACATATATATGTGTGTGTGTATGTATATATGTATATATATATTTAGTGATCAGGTTGCACTGGTTGCTATTTTATTAAGCCTACTTTTCTAGAGTTTGAAGATTCCAATGGTTCTCCTTTGAGGGCCCAGATGTGGGCATGAAACCTTGGCTTGACAGTTGTTTTCTGACATTGCTCTCTCTCCCTCACTCTGGTTTTCTCTTCCCTTTTCTCACTGATATGCTCTCTGCCTCCTTTGTTGTTACACCAAAGATGAAGAGAAAGTATCAAGCATTAAAGACCAGGGGAGTGGCATTAGCATTAACTATGATCTATATGACAAAACTGATGGATCTCTCCATCTGAGATTATCAATTTGCCTGACCTAACACCTGTGCAATTCATTCTCTTATAACATTGAAGAGGTAGCTTTATGCTTTTGCAAATACACAACCATCTATTTTCTAGCCTGCCCATGAAACTGTGTAGGCCAGCATCTGAAATACTTCCATTAAGCCTATTGCCAGATCTCTTAGCATGGGAAGTTTATATGTCACTTTTAAGGATAATTTCTCAAACTTTTAACACTTATTTATTTTTCCATTTATAAGAGGTAATTTATGAGGACTTTCTTTGTCATATAGTGAGAGTATAGACACTATGGTCATTATAGATTGAAATATTATGAATATACCAGAGAAGAAATTAAAACACAAAAAGAAATAAAATAATCTATTCTTACCAAGATAACTCTTGGGCTGTGCCTTCATTTCCTTGGGTATTACACTTCTTCCAATAGCACCCATGAAGCCTTCTATATCAGTCCCTATTTTTGAAAAAGTAACAGTTTCAATACCTTTGTAAGGTAAATCTTAACAAATGTATTTGTGCATGCACAATTTTGGATGTGTGTGCACAATTATTTCTCCTCTAATTTTGGATGTGTGTGCACAATTATTTCTCCTCCAATTAACATTTTTAAAATCATCTTGGGAGAGAGATTGTAATGCCAGCCATGGATTGTGGAAATACACTGCCTTAATCTAAAAGTACATTTCAAAATCAGAAAAGGATAGTTATATTGCTATTAGAGATTATCAGGATTTGATCAAGGTGACATACATGGGTAGTGCCAAAATTGATGCACATACTGATTCCTCATATCACTTAATTAGGACCTTTCCAATAAAATATGAAAACTCTTATTAAGTTAAACAATACTGGGGATTTTATCTGAACATAAAATTTCATGTGTACATTAAAAACATCATGCAGTGGGGATATACTTGGTGAGTGGGACACAACATATTTTCACCAGGCCAAGTTGGAAACTATGATCATCCTAGATGCTAAACATTACCATGAAGCTGAAATATATTGATTTGTCAAGAATATTGGTAATACCCCAGTTTTGGTCATGTAATTATAAACCAAGGAGACACTAGTGGTGGAAAATAATATTTCCTCCAAAGTTTAAAATCATATCCAAAATAAAAAAAATATAAATATATATTTTCTATTTCAAACAAAGTCCCTACTCTTGATGATGTTAATGTGAGGGCTGAGAAAACACTTCAAGTAATTACCATTATTTTTCTTTCAAGCATTTGAATTTTGAACATCAAAATAAGAAACTTAGGGGAGTTCCATAAACACATAGCACTAATTTATACTGGAAATATTATCTACTTTTTTTCTGTAAGTGCTCATCAGATATTGCCTGAGTGTAAATAATTTTTGTCAGAAGTGTTTGTTTACAATCAGTTCTTCTGCAAAACACATTTTATAATAGAAGTTCTGTGAATGGAAATAAAATGTATGCAAAGAATAAAGGTTGAAAGATTATACATACATAAAGAAAAATTAATGATTATATGAGTTATATACAGTCATATCAATATTAGGTTTTTGTTCTATTTCTATGCAATCATACATATGTATATATCTACACATGTATACATACACACAGATACATACATATCTGGAAAAATGTCCTCAGATCATAAAATTGAGTAAGGAGTTCTACAGGTTTGACAGAGACAATATAAATATAGTTTAGGGTTTATATCATGTATCTTTGAATAACAGTGATTTTTACCTTTTTTAGCTGTAGAGGTCATAAACGGTAGAGTATTTTTAACTTCGTCTTGCTGGTTTAAAATCGCATTAATTGGTTTCCCTAAACAATGAGAATATTGTTATGAAACTATTCTGGACTTCAGCTTTGAGCAAATTAAAATATACCTTAATCCATTTTTAAATCACAGCTTAGTTACATTTTTTCCCCAATAATTTAGACCAGACAATTAACGCAAATAATTTCTCTCTGGTTTTTCTTTGATGGGTATTTGATATTTAAAAATATTATCAATAACAGTGCAAATCAAGAAAGACAAATGATAGAAATTCAGTAGATAAAAATGGACAGAAACCTTTTATTACAGTAGGACACTAAGATACTTGAGTAATTAAACAAAACCTCTCAGGGAAAAATTTTATTATATGAAATATCACATTTTATTTTAGAAAGGAACTTATTATCCTACAATGAAAAATCTAGTGATGAAACAGAGGGAGTCATGCTTAAAAATAATATAGTATAGTTTTGGATCTCTAAATATAAATAACAGGATTATCAGGGGCCTCCCCGGTGGCGCAGCGGTTGAGCGCTGGGTTGCGAGACTGCCTGCAGCCTCTGCAGCGCCGGTTCGATCCCTGGCCGCCAGGCAAGGGTCCCACATGCCGTGCAGACCTCTCCTGCCGCCTGCTGCTCCCCTCAGCAGTGTACTTCGTCAGTCTGCCTGCTCTGCTCCCCACTCTGGCTCTGGTGAATTCTCTCACCCTCCCACGCTTCTGACTCTACCCAATGCTTGTATAAATAAATAAATAAATCTTTAAATAAATAAATAAATATAAATAAAAGGATTATCAAATGAATTTATTACCATCATCTATAGGATCTATAGTACTGAATGCATGCCAGGGTTACCAAGCATTCTCTAAGCATACATTATTTTAGATTGAGTGTTTATTTTTACTTATGATTGCCTAAACCTTTTACATCATTAATACTATTCCATTTGGTTATTTCCATATAATTAAGGCAATAGTATCTTTAAAAATTACATTGTATGCTAAGAATTTTTTTTAAATTACCTGAAGTTTCTTTATTTGGTGAAATAAAATTGGTGGCTTTATAAATCTTTATAATTTTTTAATAATATATTTATATATTATATGTTTATATTTATAATTATATTTATATTATATATTTATAAATGATATATCCCTAGATCTCCCCAGAAGTGCTTTTGAAGATTCAGTCATAAAAGGGGAAATGTACTTAGTAGCGTTCTCTAGAAAAAATTAGAAACTATGAGCTTAAGATTGATCAGACTTATAACTGTTTTTTAATATACAGCAAGAAATTTGCCAATAAAAATAAAACTAAAGGAATTTAAATAACAGAAACTAGTTTTGGAGTTAATTGGTTTAACCGAATACACACAAAAAACCTACACATAATTATGCATCTAGTTTTGCAGATCACAGCTAATTAAGAGTCCTGTGAACATAGGACCTGCTGGCCGCCAGATCATGGTAATCAAAAGGTGCATCCATTTGGGCAGCAGCAAATATGCCATGGAGGCAAGCGTGTGCATAGTAAGTGCCTCACTGGAAGCTACTATGGCCCAGAAGGAGTCAGGAAAGAGATGGAGATTTTTCCAGTTAGCCCTAGATGTTTGTTAAATTATATGCCTGGTCCTCAGGTCACAGCTTTTAAGATAAGCATTTAGGCCTCTTTCCTGGAAAGTCTGGCTTCAGTCTGCTGCCTCTGCACTGGATCTCAGAGGTACAGCCATGGCATGAGGCTACAAGAAAAGCTGAAGAACTATTTCACAGAATGCTCTTTCTTTGTCATTCTTGTTTATCCAAGCCCTGTTGACTTTCAGAGGGAGCTATTTGGACTACCTATTACTCAGGTGGAATTATTAAAATCTGGGCACCAGATGTAGAGTCCAAAGCCTTAATTCTTCAGGGAGCATCTGTTGGTCAACGAATATGAACTTCCAATTAGAGGATGAATGTGTTCTGGGGATCTAAGGCACAACATGGTGATTATAGATAACAATACCATGATATAGACTTCAAAGTTGCTACATGAGTAATGTTAAATGTTCTCACAAGAAAAGGTGTGTTAATTATGTGAGGTAATGGAAGTGTAAGCCAACTGGACGGTAGTAATCATTGTTCTTTGCAGGATGCCAGTGAGTTTTAATCTGTTTAATGTTTGCAGAGCACTCACCTACTAACAGTGCCTCCTCTTCAGAAGTATATCTGAAACCCTGCCCTGCATTAGTCAAGCTGCATCCTATACTTAGATGTTTCCTCAATTCGATGGGTAGCAATTTCTTTCTGAAATTGCTTCCTCCATGTTACCTTAAAATTAATTTTCACACATTCAGTTATCTAGTCAATAACTTCATACTTAGTTTACGGGTTTTTATTTTTATTTTTATTTTATTTTTTTTTAAGATTTATTTATTTATACAAGCATTGGGTACAGTCAGAAGCGCGGGAGGGTGAGAGAATTCACCGGGTTTTTAATTCTTACTCACTTTTTAAATTAACTGGTGAGCTTCTAGCTCCTGATGGAACCCAACAACCAGCAACAACAGCCAGTCAGTTGCCAGTGTGGGAGCAGCGAATGAACACAGGCTCAGCAAAGGCATGTAGTTATGCCAGAAAAATTTAGTCCACATTGCTAACTCCCAAATCATGAACCATATCATTAATTACTGTTTTAAGCGAAATATGTTTGGGGCAGTTTTTCAGTAAATGGACACTCATTACATTTGAAATAAAAAGTAAAATAAAATTGAGATCATCTAATAATACTCAGATGTGCATAAATGAAATAACCGATAAAAAACTAAAATAGCAACATGTATGACTGATGTTTACGCACAGAAAAGTATTTTTTACTGAAGATTTGTGGTGAAAAATATTGATTTTAATTGTCTTTAGGAGAGCAATCAGAAAATATCTTGGAACTTTAAAAATCCTGTATGATTTAAGAATCTCAATTGTGGGACTCTACCCCAAAGAAGCAAAAGTACCAAAATGTACAAAGATGTATTCATGGACTCACTTAATAATGGTGAAAAACTATATACATAATATTCTTTAAAATTAGAATGATTGCATACAGAACATATGAAACTATGAAGCACTGTACCACCAGTAAAAAGAATAAATTGAAGCATGTAATTTTCAGGCTTGTAAGGATTTTTCTAATATATTACTGAATAAAAGGTAAGATGCTGTATGAATAAAAATTTTTAAAAAGTACCTTAAAAATTATTCTAAGCAATTAGGTACTTCATATTTTTACATATAATTTTTACCTTCTTTGCCTAATAGTGAGAAATTTGTCACTTTTGTTGGAAACTGATGTTGTGGGATGTTCCTGACAAGTAAATCTTGATGCTGTGTGAGCATATGATTGGTTTTATAAGACGTCTTAACTAAAATTAAATTGAGAAACAAAAATTACATTAGGTCCCTGGATATTCACACGCTCCTCACCAAATCCTCTGTATTAGTTTTTATTCATAACTTTGTAATGGTCCCTTTCCATAATTTATTGTGTAGAACTTGTCAGTTATTCCCATTTCTATAAAATATGTCATTCTCACTCTATCTTTATTCTGTGTTCCTTGATAGCATAGTCCATTCTTTTTTTTTTTGAGTTGCTCTGAGATATACTCAGCATACAAAATAACTGCACATATTTAATGAATACATTTTCATGAGTTTGAACATATGCATATACCTGTGATATTATCACCTTGATCAAGGTAACAAACATCCATTACCTCCAGACACTCTTGTGTTTGTGGGGGAAGAATAGTTAGCGCAAATATTTCCTTCTTAACAATTTTTAGTGCAGAAACTTGTATTGTTAACTGTAAGCACAACATTATACTGTGTATCTCTAGAAATTATGCATGTAGTATAATAACTGTAACTTTATATCTATTGAAAAACTACCCATTTCTCTCTTCTAGACCCTGAAAACAATTTAATTATCTGCTTCTGTGAGTCTGTCTATTCAAAACTCATATCACTGGGATGATGCAGCATAAGTCTTTCTATGAATGGCTAATTTCACTTAGCATTAATGTCTTCCAGGTTCATTCATATTGTCACAAATGGAAGTTTCCTTTGTCAGGGCCAAATAATATTCCATTGCATGTCTCTAACACATCTAAATTTCTTCTTCTTCTTTTTTTAAAGATTTATTTATTTAGTTAGTTATGCAAGCACTGGGTACAGTCAGAAGTGCGGGAGGATGAGAGAATTCACCAGAGCCAGAGCGGGGAGCAGAGCAGGCAGAAGGACCGAAGTACACTGCTGAGGGGAGCAGCGGGCGACAAGAGAGGTCTGCGCGCCATGCGGGACCCTCCTCCAGTGGCTAGGGAGCAGCAGGTTATCGAACCGGCGCTGCGGAGGCTGCGGGCAGCTTCGCAACCCAGCGCTCAACCACTGCGCCACCAGGGAGGCCCTCACATCGAAATTTCTTCTTCTTCTTCTTCTTTTTTTGTAGTGTGAAGTCTCCTTCTGTACAGCATGAAGTTTCTAATGTTGCTACTTTGAGAGTAGACTCATGGAATGATCACAGTCATCTTTGGATGGCCTTTGTTTTATGACACTGCTTTCTTTCTCTCTACTAAGCTCTCTGCCTCTTTTCTGTAAGATGAAGTGTGTGAAACACAGTCATGCCAGGCAGTGTCATTAGCATAAAGTATGAACTATTTAACAAAACTAATGATCTCTCTATCTGAGGTTATCAATCTGCCAGATATCTTAGTGATATAGAGTTTATCAGTAAATAATAAAATAACTACTTGCTTCTTATCACATTCATAACTTATTATTTACTCTTTTGTATAAATACAACTATACTTTATAACCTGAAAAAGAAACTGAGTAGAACAGCATCAGAATACTTTCATTGAGCTTATTCCAAAGTCTCTAAAGGTTTGATTGTTTATGTATAACCTATATGGATTTCTTCTCAAACTTAGGTGGTTGATTTTCCATTTGTAATAACTGTAAGAGCTCAGCTTATTATAGGTGGGCATTTATTAAGAATTTTTTATCATGTTATAGTAACATGTAGGCACTACGATCATTAAAGTTTCAAACTTGAAGAAATCTCAGACAAGATAAATAAACCACAAGTAGATATGAAATATTCTTGTCCTTACCAAGATGACTCTTTGGTTGTATCTGGAATTCCTTAAGTATAGCACTTCTTCCAGTCACACCTGTTATGTGTTCTATATCACTGCCTAGGTAAAATAAAACAAAACATGTTCAAAACACTTTCGTAAAGTAAATATTACATGTGTAGGTGTACATTCTGATATGGGTTTGTGTGCCATTATTCTCAAATTAGAAATAAGCTTTTATTATCAAAAGATTATAATGAAAGTGGTGGATTGCAGAAACATGCCACCTTAATGTAAAAGTCCACTAGCAATCAGAAAATGCTCAATACATTGAGATTCGTGAAGTTTAGTGATTTGGACAAGGAGATATGGCAAGGTAGTGAAAAAGTCTATGAATAAAATGATTCCTGATAATTCCTTAACCAGGTCCTTTCCCAAAAAACATAAAGGTATTTGCAGATTAATATCATATGAGATTTATATCATATACATACATACGTATTTATATCAGATTTATATCATATACATTACTAATAAGACTTTCATGTGTCTGTGAAACACATCACACACAGGATTGATTCCCCAGTGAGAAAGAACACACATTTTTTTGCCAGGTCAAGATGGAAATTACCCTTCCGTAGTCACAGAATGTGCAGAAATACTTTGATTTGTTCAAGGAAAATGGCAATGTGCTCCCCTCTCCACTTGTAGGTTGATAACTGTAAACAATATGTATTAGTGGTGGAAAAGAATAGGAAGTATTTTGTGGGTTTATAACTTCAGGCTAGCTCAATGAGATGGGTCATTTGCAATAATGTGATCTATGATACCATTCCATTTGAGTATTTATGTGACTTCTACTTTCCAGTTGACATTAGAGCTAATCCCTAGGAACAATGATGAAAGAAAATAGCATGAAATGCACTTAAAAGAACCACTTATTACAAAAGGAATAATTATAGTTGATGACTCTAAATCACCTCCTGGAAAAAATTTTGTGGGCAAAATATTGGTTTTATACAGCATGTATCCATAATCAGAAACCTGTTACAATCCAGATATCATGGATGGGAAATCTTGCTTTGAAGACATGACTGAGTCTATAAATATTTGAAGTTTTCACTATGCCATGGCAACACAGATAAACCACCATGGCAATATGACGAGGCAGAGACCAGGTGGGGCATTATTACCTAACCGAAGACACATTGGATGGGCAAACCTAGAAAGGCAACCTCTCCTAGATTATGTAATTTCTTAGCATATAAATGTTCATGGTAGTTTCTAATTATCCTGTGAATTTCTGAACTATTGGCTATGATTTCTCCTTTCATATTTTTTTAAAGATTTACTTTATTTATTTATGCACACAAGAACTAGGGTACAGGCAGAGGTGTGGGGGGTGAGAGGATTCACCAGAGACAGAGTGGTGAGCAGAACAGGCAGACTGACTGAAATACACTGCTGAGGGGAGCAGTGGACAAGTCAGGAGAGGTATGCTGCTCCATGTGGGCAGCTTCCTGGCTGGGGATGGAACTCAGGCCCCAGAGGCTGATGATAGCTTGATAGTGCTAATTTAACTCCTGCACCATTTTAACCCTGACTTTAAGGCCTCCTTCTTTCATATTTTTTATTTGAGATTTCTCCTGCATTTTCTTAGTGAGCTTTGCTAGAGGTACATCTATTTTGTTTATATTTTTTTTCCCAAAGAAATGGCTTCTGACGTTGTTAAACGTGGGCAATTTTACTTCTGTTTCATTTACTTCTGCTTTGATTTTGATTATTTCTGTTCATCTACTGACTTTTGGATTTGTTTTTCCTTTTCTATCAATATTGCTTGAGGTGAGAGAGAAGGTTTTTTTATTTGAGCTCTTTATGTTTCTTGTTGAGGACTACATTGCTATATACTTCTGGGTTAGCATTGATTTGCTGTATTACATAAGTTATGGAAAGTTGTATCCTCTTTATTATTTGTTTCAAGGTATTTTCTGATTTCTTCGCTAACCTGGTAGTTTTTAAGTAGTTTGTTTTTCAATATCCTACACATATGTTTTTAATATCCTACACATATTATAGGATTCCCATACTTTCTTTAGCTAATTGATTTCTAGTTGGTGCCTTTATTGGCAAGAAGATGTTAAGAATAATTTCAATCTGTGAATTTGCTGATTTTTTTTGTGACCCAGAATATGGTCTATTCAACATCTGAAAAACATAATTCAGCACATAAAAATATAACAAACATATGATCATATCAACAGATACTGAGAAATCTATTGCTAAGATCTAATAACCATTAGGAAGAAAACCTTTGAGAAGCTGCAAAACTGGGGTTAAGTGAAACATACCTTATAATGTAAAAAGTCATCTATAAGAAACCCACAGCTAATATTGTTTTCAATTTCAAAAAGCTGAAAGCTTTAACACTAAATATGGTACAAGACAAAGACGTCCATTCTCATCATTACTATTCAACTATATATGAGGTCTTTTGTTAGAATTATTTCCATGAAAGACTTGATGTCTGTTAGTGAAGCTGAAGGAAAAAGAAAAAGCAAGTATGTATTTACAGTGCCTGTGATAATGATCTTCTGATTTAAAATGCATGGTTCACTCCAGTTATACCTATGAAATGCAGCTAACATGCTATCATTTTCTTACTCAAATACATGACTGCTTCCACACATCACCTGTGGGGTGCTATTGCGGTGTTTTCCAAATTTTATAGGCCCAACAAAGCACCAGTATAAATACTGTTCTAAATAATTACCTTTGAAATGAATTAAGACAAGAAAGGAGATAGGATGTCCTTTCATACAGTACTTTGGATTCATACAAATTCTTTATCCATGTTCTTTGGGGACACAGATTTAAAACTGTCTGAGGTCAATTGTTTTCATTCTGAAAAAAAATATTTTGTGTATCTAACTAGGTGGGTCTCAAGCAATAGTTCTCTCAATTTTGGAGATCCCTTTATCTCAATTTCAATTAGAAAGTTACTTTTCCTGGATATATTATTCTTGGTACATTAGTTTTTCTTTCTGCATTTTTTTGAAAGATTTATTTATTTATGCATATAAGAACTGGGGTAAGGCCGGAGTGTGGGGGGTGAGAGAATTCACCAGAGACAGAGCGGGGAACAGAACAGGCAGATCAACTGAAATACACTGCTGAGGGGAGTAGAGGGCAAGTCAGGAGAGGTCTGTTGCATCATGTGGGTAGCTCCCTGGCTGGGGATCAAACTTGTGCTGCAGTGGCTGCGGATAGCTTCATAGGTTGCTGTCTTAACCCCTTATGCCACCCCTTATGTCTTAACCCCTTATGCCACCAGGGAGGCCCCCTTTCTGCATTTTTAATCTGTTAGCTGTCTCACTGTGTTCTGACCTCTACAGTTTCCCACTGCAAGGTCAGGCATCCAGTGTACTGGGTGCTCTTTGACGTGAGTTGTGTACTCCCTTTGAGGCATTCAACATTTCCTCTCTCTCTGTCTTTATTCCACCTAGATGCTGGGTCTAGATGCGAATGTCTTTGTACTTTTTCTACTTGGGTCAAGTTTACTTTGTGCAGATACATATTTACCAACAGATATCTTTTTTTTTTTTTTGATATTTTTTACTTTTATTTTATTTTATTTTTTTTAATTTTATTTTTATATTCCCCATACAATTGCAACCCCCCATTCTGACCCCAATCCCTCCCCTCCCGCCCCTCACCCCCCAAAAAGTGTCTCTGGTTCATAGTTTTTTGTTGATTTTGATTTTCGCTTTCTTATAGTTATTCATTTTTCTGGTCCCTTATTAAGTTTTCTAGATTCCTGCTATGAGTGAGACCATCCGGTATTTTTCTTTTTCTTTTTGGCTTATTTCGCTGAGCATGATCCCTTCCAGTGCCATCCATGTTGCTGCAAATTGCATGTGTTTATCTTTTTTGAATGCTGAGTAATATTCCATGGTATATATGTACCACATCTTCTTAATCCAGTCATCTATTTTTGGGCATTTGGGCTGTTTCCAAAGCTTAGCTATTGTAAATAGTGCTGCTATAAACATAGGGGTGCATGTGTTCTTTGGAATTGATGTTTCTGTGTCCTTTGGGTAAATACCTAGGAGTGGAATTGCTGGATTATATGGAAGCTCTATGTTTAGTAGTTCCAGAAATCTCCACACAGCTCTCCATAGTGGTTGGACCAGTTTGCACTCCCACCAACAGTGCAGAAGAGTTCCTTTTTCTCCACACCCTCGCCAACATTTGTTGTTGCTAGTTTTTTTAATATGTGCCATTCTCACTGGTGTGAGATGGTATCTCATGGTAGTTTTGATTTGCATTTCCCTGATTACAAGTGATGTTGAACATTTTTTCATATGCCTGTTGGCCATTTGCATTTCCTCTTCAGAGAAGTTTCTTTTTAGCTCTTCTGCCCATTTTTTGACTGGGTTATTTTCTTTGTTTTTGTTGAGTCTCATCAGCTCTTTGCAGATTTTTGTGATCAGTCCTTTATCATTAGTGTTGGGTGCAAAAATGTTCTCCCAGTTGGTGGGGTTTCTCTTTGTTTTTGTTATTGTCTCTTTTGCTGTGCAGAAGCTCTTTAATTTGATGTAGTCCCAGCTGTTTATCTTTGCCTTCACTATCACTGCTTTGGGTGATGTGTCTGTAAAGATGTCTTTGATGTACAAATCACGTAGTGTTTCGCCTATATTTCCTTCTATATATTTTATGGTTTCAGGTCTTATGTCTAGTTCTTTAATCCATTTTGAGTTGATTTTTGTGTATGGTGTGAGGTAATGGTCAAGCTTCATTCTTTTGCATGTAGCGACCCAGTTTTCCCAGCACCATTTATTGAACAAATTTTCTTTGCTCCAATGCACAGTCTTTGCTCCTTTGTCAAAGATTAGTTGACCATAAATCTGTGGGTTTATTTCTGGATTTTCTATTCGATTCCATTGGTCCCAACAGATATCTTTTGATTTTTTTTTTTTTTTTTTTTTTTTTTTTTTTTTGGTCAAGAGTTTTTCTCTGGCCCTTATATCTCTATTCAATTTAAATTGTTTTCATTACTTCTAAATGTATAGACTCTTTTCTGATCTTTCAAAACTACTCATGTTGCTCCTCTAGTTTTTCCCATCTATGCTACCCTGGCATTGATTGTACTTTCAACCCCAGATTTTTCACTATGATTGAGAGAGTGATTCTCTGAATTTTCTTAAAAAATATATGTATTCCTATTTTTGAGATGTTGCCATCAATCATCCTTTCCTTTTTCAGCACATATTTCTTCAACTCTTTCAATATATTTATGACTCTTCTGTGGAACACTCATGAAAAAAATTTGCTGTCTCACTTTTTCCTATTTATGGCTCACACATTATTGATTTGTGCATGGGTCACAGTTATGATATTTTGTGGGGGAATGCTGGGAGGAAAAGTACAAATGGCTTCCATATAATATTACAGCACACCTTGGTACTGAGTTTCCCTGTCTTTTGGAGACTTATTGTTGTTTCCTTGATCACTTCTTCAGTGGTAAGGCTGCACTGCTTCCTAATTAATGAAATCCCCTTCTGTGTTGCATGAAGCTTCTAATGTTATTCCTCTTAAAGCACAGACATGGTCATGATCACAATCACCATTGTCAGACCATTGTTTTATGACAGGACTGTCTCTCTCTATCTGGTGATCTCTCCCCCTTATTTCTCTGCTTTGCTCCCTGCCTCTTTTGCTGTCACATTACAAGTAAAGAGGAAGTATATTAAATATATTCACACCAGAAGAAGGGGCAGTAGCATAAAGTATGAACTACATAAAAAAACTGATAGTTACTCTGAGATTACAAATTTGCCAGATATTTTAAATAAAATAGAGGAACTAAGTAACCAAAGAAATAACTACTTGCACAATTCCTCTTCTTATTGTATTCTTAAACCAGTATTTCTGATTTCATTCATACATAACCATATCTTTTGAACCTGCAAAGAATGAGTTGACCTGAATCTGAAATACTTCCATCAAGCATATTCCAAAGCCTCTATAGCATTGAATGTTTATGCATCACTTTCATGGATGAGTTCTTAAACATATATTTACATTTATAATAACTTCAAGAGTTCAACTAATTATGGGAGGGAATTTATAAAGAATTTTTTTAAATCATTTGTAGTACCATATAGGCACTGTGGTTGTTAAAGAGCCAAACTTGAAGAAATCCCAGAGAAGATAACCAAACCACAAATAGATATGAAATATTCTTGTTCTCACCAAGATGGCCCTTTGGCTGTGCCTTCTTTTCTGCATTCTGTATTTTTCCTCTTCCAATTGCACGTGGGAAGTTTTCTATACCAGGGCCTATGTGAAAAAAAAATTACAGGACACTTTTGTAAGGTAAATATAAGCATATGTGTTTGTGCATGCTTATGTGGATGGGTGTGCACTGTTATTTCTCCTCTATATTATTTCTCCTCTATATGTTTTTATTATAGAAGGTTTATTATAAAAGCTGTGGATCACAGAAACACACTACCTTAACCTTAAAGTGCCATTAGCTATCAGTATATTGAGATTAGAGAGGTTTAGTGATTTGGCCGAGTGCCACATTCAGGCAATGACAGAGTCAATGTAGAAACTGATAGCTCATAACTTCTCAGCAAGGGTCTTTTCCATAAACATGAAGTCTTTTTGTAGAGTTATATCATATGAGGGAGATTATCTGAATAGTAAGAATTTCATATATACATAAAAACACTGCACGTGGGACTTACATATGCAGTGAGTAGACACAACTTTTTTTCCCCAGGCTAGATGGAAACTGTATTCATCCTGGCACAGAATGATACTATGAGGCAGAGATAATTTGAAATTTCTAGGAAAAATGCAATGCCATCCCACCAATTTTAGGTTAAGTAACTGTAAAAAAAGGTGTATCAGTGGTTGGAAATAATAGCAAGTTCTTTGAGGGCTAATATAAAGTGCTCTTTCTCATGGACACTAGCACGTACAACTTCTAGCTGGGTCAATGAATTGGGTCACCTTGAAATAACATGAGCTATTATCTTACATCCTCTCTATTTGGGTATTTATGGGACTTTTACTTTTCAGTTGACTTTAGAAATAACTTCCTAGTCTAATGACAGAAGAAAATAGTATGAAATACATTTAAAGAGGTTGCTCATTACAAAGGAATAATTATCATTGATGACTGTCAGTCACCTGTTATGTAACATTTTGTGGGCAAATTATTTGTTCTATAAAGCATATACAATAGTCAGAAACTTATCATGATCCAGATAACATAGATGAGAAGTCTTGTTTTGAAGAAATGACTGGGCCTATGAATATTTAAAGTATGCATTATCACCATGTCAATACAGAGGTAATAGCATTTCAATGTACACAAAGGCAGAGACCACATGATGCATCATTACTTACATCAAAGACACATTGATAGGTAGAACAAATGTTCAATAATTAATTACCAACCTTTGTGAAAGTAGTAGAAGCTACAGAACCTCATAATTCCAGGATATTAGTGGTCACACATCACGTCTCTGCTCTGTCTCCAGTAGATCCAATTCTAAGAACTGATTAATTTTTTTTAAAGATTTATTTAAGGAACCCTCCTGCACTGCTGGTGTGAGTGCAAACTGGTCCAACCACTATGGAGAGCTGTGTGGAGATTTCTTGACCTACTAAACATAGAGCTTCCATATGATCCAGCAATTCCACTCCTAGGTATTTATCCAAAGGACACAAAAACATTAATTCCAAAGGGCACTGCACCCCTATGTTTATAGCAGCACTGTTTACAATAGCTAAGCTTTGGAAACAACCCAAATGCCCAAAAATAGATGACTGGATCAAGAAGATGTGGTGCATATACACCATGGAATATTACTCAGCATTCAAAAAAGATAAACACATGCAATTTGCAGCAACATGGATGGCGCTGGAAGGGATCATGCTCAGCAAAATAAGCCAGAAAGAAAAAGAAAAATACCGGATGGTCTCACTCATAGCAGGAATCTAGAAAACTTAAATAAGGGACCAAGAAAAATAATAACTATAAGAAGGAAAATATCAAAATCAACAAACAACTATGAACCAGAGACACTCTATGGGGGGTGAGGGAGGCGGGGAGGGGAGGGATTGGGGTCAAAATAAGGGGGTTGCAATTGTATGGGGAATATAAAAATAAAATTTAAATTTAAAAAAAATAAAGTTTTACATAACAAAAAAAAGATTTATTTATTCTTATACAAGAACTGGGGTACAGGCCATAGGGGCGGGAGGGTGAGAGGATTCACCAGAGACAAAGTGGGGAACAGAACAGGCAGACGACAGAAATACATTGCTGAGGGGAGCAGAGGGCGCAACAGGAGAGGTCTGCTGCGTCATGTGGGATTCTTGCCAGCCGGCCAGGATTGAACCTGCTGCTTGTAATTGGTATATGTACCACATCTTCTTGATCCAGTCATCTATTTTTGGGTATTTGGGTTGTTTCCAAAGCCTAGCTATTGTAAATAGTGCTGCTATAAACATAGGGGTGCAGGTGCTCTTTGGAGAATGGCACGTATTAAAAAAAACTAGTAACAACAAATGTTGGCGAGGATGTGGAGAAAATGGAACTCTCCTGCACTGCTGGTGGGAGTGCAAACTGGTCCAACCACTATGGAGAGCTGTGTGGAAATTCCTCAGCTTACTAAAGATAGAGCTTCCATATGATCCAGCAATTCCACTCCTAGGTATTTACCCAAAGGACACAGAAACATTAATTCCAAAGGGCACCTGCACCCCTATGTTTATAGCAGCACTATTTACAATAGATAAGCTTTGGAAATAACCCAAATGCCCAAAAATAGATGACTGGATCAAGAAGATATGGTACATATACACCATGGAATATTACTCAGCATTCAAAAAAGATAAAACACATGCAATTTGCAGCAACATGGATGGCGCTGGAAGGGATAATGCTCAGCGAAATAAGCCAGAAAGAAAAAGAAAAATGCCTCACTCATAGCAGGAATCTCGAAAACCTAAATAAGGAACCAGGAAAAAGAATAACTATAAGAAAGAAAAAATCAAAATCAACAAACAACTATGAACCAGAGACACACCGTGGGGTGAGGGGGGGGGAAGGAGGGAATGGGGTCAACATAAGGAGGTTGCAATTGTATGGGGAATATAAAAATAAAAAAAATAATAAAAAAATAAATAAAAGAATTAATGAGCCACATTTCATGATGACAACATGAGTTACAACACAAAACCAGTGCCATTGTTAGATTTTTTTAAGCCATTCTAGGTTTACTTCAAAATAAAAGAAAACAGTTTCTTGAATCAAGAAAGTATGGGAACCTCAGATAAGCAAGGCATGATCAAATACCATTTAAGGCAAGAATTAAGTTAATGTCTAAGAATTGAAAGATATCCTCTGCAGAATCTGACAATCAAGTGAGGGTCGTAATTTCCCTGTTTCAAAATATCTTCCCATTGCTTTAAATCTTTCTAAGAATATCTTGACACTTGTCAAATTTCCAAGGGAAACTGGATCCCGATGTTTCCCTGTCCTTTAGAGGTCTGTTATAGCTGTTTGCCTGATTATCTATATAGAGGTTAAGCTGCACTGTTTCCTAATGCATGATGTCTCCTGAAGTACAGCCTGTGGCTTCTGATGTAGCTCCCCTGAGGGCACAGATGTGGGGACAATCACAGTCACCACAGATGACTGATGTTTTATGACAGTGTTCTCTCTGGATGTTTCTTTTTCCTTACTTCTCTGCTGAGCTCTCTGCCTCCTATGCCGCCATGCCACAGAAAAAGTGGCAGAGCATCAAACCCTATGAACTCAGGCAAAGGGGCACAAGCATAAACTACACAGCAAAACTGACAACTACTCCATCTGAGACTATCAATTTGCTTGATATTATAATGATCTAGAAAGAATCAGTAGCCAATGAAATAACTACCTGCTCAATTTTTCTTATCAAATTCATAATCTAGCATTTCTGCTTTTGAATTTACACAACAATATACTTTCTAGTCTGCAAAAATCTGAGTGGATCTGCATCAGAAATACATCCACTAAGGATATTCCAAAGCCCCTAGACCACTGAATATTTAAGCCTCACTTTCAATGATGAGTGTTCGGTCTTATAACAGGTAGAGGTTTCTATTCATAATAATGCCTGCAAGAGTTGGACTAATAATAGCAAGGAATTTATGAAGAACTTTTTTTTAATAGATTGTAGTAGCATATTGGCACTGTAGTCAATAAAAGATCCAATCTTGAAGAAACCCAGAGAAAATAACTAAACAACAAATAGGTATGAAATATTCTTGTCCTCACCAGGATGACTTTTTGATGCTTTCCTGGTTTCCCCATGTGTAACACCTCTGCCAATTGCACCCGCAAATTGTTCCATAACAGAGTCTGCACAAGAGGAAATAAAAAAAACAAGTATTTTTAATATACTTACATAAATATTACTATTTTTATTTGTACATGAACATGCAGATGTACATGCACTCATATTTCTCCTCTACATTATTTTGCCTCTCTATAATGTTTTATTATAGAAGGATTATAATGAAAGGGTGATGCAGAAACACACTACCTTAAACTGAAAGCTCCATTAGCACTCAGAAGAAGATTGGTATTGAGATTAGAGAGGTTTCTGCTTTTGAATATACACAGTAATATATTTTCTAGTCTGCAAAATTTTGAGTAGATCTGCATCAGAAATACACCAATTAAGCATATTCCAAAGCCTCTATACCACTGAATATTTAAGCATTACACTTTCTTTGATGAGTTTTCAAACTTTTAGTATACAGCTCTTTCTCCATTCATAACTGCAACTGTTGAACTAATTATTGAATGCAAATTATTAAGATTTTTTAAAATAATGTTGTAGCAACATAATGGCACGGCACTGTGATCATGAAAAGATGCAAATTTGAAGAAATCCCAGAGAAAATAGCTAAAAAAAAAAAAAAAAAGGTATGAAATATTTTTGTGCTTACCATGATGACTCTGTGGTTGTTTCTTGGTTTCCCCATGAGGTGTAGCTCTTGCAATCATCTCAGTGAGTTTTTCTAGTAGACTGTCTATATATTAAAAAAAGTATTTTCAATATATTCATGTAAGGTAAATATTAACACATGTATTTTTGTACAAGCACATGTGGATGTATATGCACTCATATTTCTTCTCTACATCATTTCCCCTCTCTATAAAGCTCTTATTATAGAGGGATTATAATGAAAGGGTGATGCAGAAAAACATTAGCAATCAGAAGATTGAGATTGAGATTAGAGGGGTTTAGTGATTTGGCCAAGGTGACACTCAACGATAAAATCAACACATGAATTGATTCTCCTTAACTCCTCAACTATAGCTATTCCTAGAAAAAAATGTTAAGGTTTTTCATTCAAATGAGTTTATCTCAGTAATAAGTATTTCATGTGTCATGAAAGACACATAAAAAAGTCTTTTCCATATAATATTGTAGCACATCTTGACAATGAATTTCCTTGTCCTTTAGAAGCTTGTTGTTGTTTTCCTGATTATATAATGTGTGGTTAGGCCATGCTGTTTCCTATTGTATGAAATCTTCCTGCAGTACAGTTTAAGGCTTCTAATGTTGGTGCTGGGAAGACACAGATGTGGGAACAATCACAGTCACCTCTTTGTAACTGTTGTTTTATAGCAGGGCTGCTTTCTCTCTGGTTGATTCTTTCCTGCACTTCTCTGCTAAGCTCTCTGCCTCCTCTGCTTTCACACCACAGATCAAGAAGTTCTGTATCATAAACTGTGGCCATGGTAAGGGCATTAACATGCAAAAGAATGAAATTAGACCACAGTCTCACACCATAAACCAAAATCAGCTAAAATGGATAAAAAACTTGGAGGTAAGACCTGAAACCATAATATATAGAGAAGCAAACAGGCAAAATGCATCAAGACATAACCTCAGATGTCTACAGAATTCCCCTGCAGCAAGGAAAAATAAAAGAATATAAACAATTAGAACTACATCAAATTAAAATGTTTCTGTACAGTGAAAGATTGTAACTTAAATGAACAGGCACCCTACCAAATGGGAGAATATACTTTCACACCATACATCTGACAGGGACTGATATCAAAGATCCAAAAACAACCCATACAACTCAAGAAAAAGAAAACAAATATCCCAATCACAAAAATGGGCCGAGGAGCTAAAAAGGCACTTCTCCAAGAAGACATACAGATGGCCAAAAGTACACAAAAGATGTTCATCAACACTTATTATCAGGAAATGAAATCAAAACCCCACTGAGAAGCCACCTTACATCTATGAGAATGGCCCAACCAAAAAGACCAAAACCAGCAAGTACTGGCAAGGGCATGGAAAAAAGGGATCCTCTTACCCTGTTGTTGGGAATGTAGTCTTATGCACCCTTTATGGAAGCAGTGTGGGTGTTTATCAAAAGAACAAAAGTAGTTCTGCCACATTACACAGCAACCAAACCCCCTCCTAGATATCTATTCCCAAACTACAAAAACCCTAATTTGAAAGGAAACCGTCACTCCCATGTTTATAGCAGCAGTTTTTATAATAGATAATAGAAGAAACCTAAAGGCCCTCAAACAGACTAGTGGAGCATGATGATATAGTTTATTTGCATAATGGAATATTATTCAGCAATCAAAAAAGATACATTCATGCCATTTGTAGCAGCATGTGTAGAGCTAGAAGGGCTTATACGAAAGTACATAAGTCAGCAGGAGAAAGATAAATACTGGATGGTGTCACTTAGATGTGGAATATAGAAAAACTAAATGAAGGGTCACACAAAGACAAACTTCAAAACCAACCATTAAACTGACCACTGATCTTCAGCTTCAATTGAGGGATAGGGAAGAAGAGGGATGAAAATATGGGGAGAAGAGGAAACTAATGGACTATGCTGGTGGTTATGGATGCACTGATGGACTAGGGGTAGGTGGTAGAATCTTATACTCTCATAATTCTAATAAAACAATGGAACTTTAATACCAATTAAATGGGTCATTCACACAAATTGTAAACTATATAATGAAACTGATGATCTCTCCATTTGAGATTATCAATTTGCCTGATAATTTAATGATATAGAATCAATAGCCAATGAAATAACTACCTGCTCAATTCCTATTCATATCATATTCACAAGGTAGCATTACTGCTTTTGCACATTCACCACAGTATCTTTTCTAAACTGCAAAAGAAACTGAGTAGACCAGCATCTGAAATACTTCCATTAAGCATATTCCAAGGTCTCTACGACATTGAATGTTTCAGCATCACTTACACAGATAAGTTCTTAAATTTGTATGTACCTATTTTTCCATTCTAAATAACAGGAAGAGTTCATGAATTATAGGAGCAAATTATGAATTATTTTTAAATCATTTTGTAGTAGTTTTTAGGAACTGTGGTTATTTCAGATTCAAACTTGGAGAAAATATCTAAGCCACAAAGAAACTGAAATATCCTCGCCCTTACCAATATGACTCCTCGATGGTTCCTTCACTGCAGGTATTATAGCTCTTTCAGTCACATCTACGTAGTGTTCTATATAAGGGTCAATAGACATAGTTAAAAAAAAAGAATATATTCAATCAATTTTGTAAGGTAAATATTAACATATGTGTGTTTGTGCAAATGTGTGGAGGTGTGCACGCTGTTATTTCTGTCATTAATGATATTTTTACTTAGGAGGATTATAATGAAAGCTGTGGTTTGCCTAAATATACTCTTAAACAAAAGAGTCATTAGCAAGGAGAAAAGGCTTGTTATATTAAAATAAGAGAGGCTTAGAGGTTTGCCAAGGTGACAAATCTAGGCAATGTCAAATTCGATGCATAAACTGATTCTTTGTAATTCCTTGACTAGTGTCTTTTCCAGAAAACATGAAGTTTTTTTCAGTATTACATCATATGAGGGGGTTTATCTGATAATTAGAATTTCATGTATACACTAAATACATATCATGAAGGATTGATATCCACAGTGAGACAGGACATAACATTTTTTCCCCAGGTAAAGGTGGAAATTATATTCATCCTTGTCACAGAAAGTTACTGTAAGTCAGAAATACTTTGATTTTTCCAGGAAAACTGCAATGCCCATTTCCCCTTTAAGGTGATGTAAGTGTAAAGGAGGTTGTATTAGTGGTGAAAAAAAATAGTAAGTAATTTGTGTGCTAATATAAAGTGCTCTCCCTCAAGGTCATTATCATGTAGAAATTGTAGCTGGGTCGATGAAATGGGTCATCAGCAGTAATGTGTTCTATCATCTTGAAACTCTTTCTATTTGAGTATTTATATGATTTGTTCAGTTGACTTTAGAAAGAACTCTTTAGATCTGCAAACCATCATTTTATTCATCAGAGAAGAATCCCAAAGTGTATGAATTAAAGGAATTCATAAGCCACATATCATGATGGTAACATGAGTTACAACAACCCCAAAACAGTGCAAATTAGCAGATTTATTTTAGCCATTTTAGGTTTATGTCAAAGGATGTAAATTAAAAAACAGACCTTTTTGAATCAAGAAAGCACAGAAACCTCAGGTAAGCAAGAGGCATTCAAATACCATGTCAGAGCCTCCCTGGTGATGCAAGGGGTTAAGCACTGCCCTGTGAAGCAATCCATAACCTCTGCAGCACGAGTTTGATCCCCAGCCAGCCATGGAGTTTTTCACATGGCGCAGCAGACCTCTCCTGTCTCGCCCACTGCTCCCCTCAGCAGTGTATTTCAGTCAGTCTGCCTGTTCTGTAACCCACTCTGTCTCTGGTGAATCCTCTCACCCCCTGCATCTTTGGCCTGTACCCCAGCTCTAGTATGCATAAATAAATAAACGGTTTTTTAAAAAAAATGTTTCTCTAATAAACTATCAATTTGCTTGGAAAGAAGAAAACAAATACCATTTAATGTGAAAAAAAAACAAATACCATTTAAAGTAAGAATGAGTTCATGTCTAAAAATTTTAAATTATTCTCTCAAGAATCTGACAATCGAGTGATGGTCATAATTTCCCTGCTTCAAAATATCTTCCCTTTGCTTTAAATCTTTCCAAGACTATCTTAACACTTGTAGATCACTGAGCTATTTTCCATTCAATGTGCCTTTCATATCATCCAATTCAATGTTTTCTTTAAAACTTACATTGAGATATGTGATAGCAATATAGCCAAGTGTTGAATCCACTTCATTAATTAGTTACTCTAATTAAATTCCAGTGAGGCATAGAATTGTAATTCCTAACTAGCTCCATTACCTCTTTTCACTGTGGAGCTATTATATGTCTATTGTGCCTACACATATGAGGAGGCCATTTGTTATAAATATTTCAACATTTGACTTGAAGTCATTGAATGAAGCTGAGAGAAGAAAGAGATAGTATATATTTATAATTATGTGTTACATTGATTCATAATTTCTGGTATCTGCATTAGTTTCTATGCAATGCAGCTAACACACTATCATCTTCTTACTCAACACATGACCGCCCCTACAAGTCATCTATGGGATGCTACTATGGTATATATGGATTTTCCAAATTTTATAGGCCCAACAAAGCACCAGTATAGATACTGTTATAAACAATTACCTTTGAAACGAATTAAGATGAGAAAGGAGATAAGATATGCTTTCATATGGTACTTTGGATTCATACAAATCCTTTTCCATAGTTTTGGGGAGATGTTTTCAAAAGCCTGTCTGATGTCAATTGCTTTCAGTCTGAAAATATTTCTTTACTATTTCCAGTAAAGCAGATGTCTAGCAGAGAGTAACCTCACTTTTTATTCATGGGTGTGCTTTTGCTTCACTATAATTTTTGAGGGATAATTTTCCTGAATATATTATTCTTAGTGTATCATTTTTTTCTTTCAGCATTTTTAATCTGCCATCTATCTCTCTGCTTTCTGGCCTCCCCAGTTTCCCAATGCAGAGTCAGAAGTCCAGTATACTGGCTGCTGCTTGACATGTGAGTTACGTATTCCCTTTGAGGCATTCAACATTTCCTCTGTCTTTGTCCTTATCATTCACTATGCTGAGTTTGGGAGTGAATGTCTTGGTACATACTCTGTTTAGATGGAGTTTGCTTAGTACAGATTTATATTTATTCATATTTATCAACGAATATCTTTCCATTTTCTCAGTCACTGTCCTTCTGTGAATTTTTCCTGCCCCTTGGTATATCTGCTCTATTTAAATGTTCCCATTATTTTAAGTGTGTAGACTCTTCAGACCTTTCAAGGCTACTTTGGCTCCCTAGTTATTCCTGTCTACTTCATGTCAGTATTTCAAATTTCAGATTTTTCATTGTGATTGTGAGAGTATATCTCAATTATTCTTTTTATATTCCTCTTTGTTGTGTCGCTGCCATTAATCTTCCTTTCCATTTCTCCAGTTTCCTTGAACTCTTTCTAAATATCTCTAACTTTTCTCTGGACTACTACATTTGAGATACACGCAAGATCATTTTGGTGTCTCCCATTTTCCAGTGTATGGTTCATACTTTTCTATTTCTTTCATGGACAAAATTGTGATATTTTGTATTGTGAGTGTGAGGGGTCAGAGGGTAGTACAAATGGTCTTTGCAAAGAATATTGTAGTCCAATTGGATCCTGATGCTTCCCTGTCCTTTAGAGGTCTGTTATTGTTGTTTGCCTGATTATCTATACAGAGGTTAAGCTGCACTGTTTCTTATTGTATGATGTCTCCTGAAGTACAGCCTGTGGCTTCTGATGTAGCTCCCCTGAGGGCACAGATGTGGGGATAACTGCAGTCACCTAGATGACTGATGTTTTATGACAGTGTTCTCTCTCTGGATGTTTCCTTCCCTTACTTCTCTGCTGAGGCTCTCTGCCTCCTATGCCTTCATGCCACAGAAAAACCCTATGAACTCAGGCAAAGGGGCACAAGCATAAACTACACAGCAAAACTGACAACTACTCTATCTGAGACTATCAATTTACCGGATATTTTAATGATCTAGAATGAATCAGTAGCCAATGAAATAACTACCTGCTCAATTTTTCTTATCATATTCATAATCTAGCATTTCTGCTTTTGAATATACACAACAATATACTTTCTAGTCTGCAAAAATTTGAGTGGATCTGCATCAGAAATATATCCATTAAGGATAACTCCAAAGCCACTGAATATTTAAGCCTCACTTTCAATGATGAGTTTTCAATCTTATAACAGGTAGAGGTTTCTATTCATAATAATACCTGCAAGAGTTGGAATAATAATAGCAGGGAATTTATGAAGAACTTTTTTAATAGGTTTAGTAGCATATTGGCACTGTAGTCAATAAAAGATCCAATCTTAAAGAAACCCAGAGAAAATAACTAAACAACAAATAGGTATGAAATATTCTTGTCCTTACCAAGATGACTTTTTGATGCTTTCTTGGTTTCCCCATGTGTAATATCTCTGCCAATTGTATCTGTAAATTGTTCTATAATAGAGTCTGTACAAAAGAAAATAAAAAACAAGTATTTTTAATATACTTATGTAAATATTACTGTTTTTTGTTTGTACATGAACATGCAGATGTATATGCACTCATATTTCTCCTCTACATTATTTTGCCTCTCTATGATGTTTTATTGTAGAAGGTTTATAATGAAAGGGTAATACAGAAAAACACTACTTTAACCAGAAAGCAATATTAGCATTCAGAAGAAGATTGGGATTGAGATTAAAGAGGTTTAGGGATTTGATCAAGGTAATATATGTAGGCAATGAGGAAATCAATTCATGAATTGATTCTCCTTAATTCCTCAACTACAGCTAGTCCTAGAAAAATGTTATGGCCCACAAAAATGGGCCGAGGAGCTAAACAGACACTTCTCCAAAGAAGAAACACAGGGCCAAAAGACTCAAAAGATGTTCATCATCAAGACTTATTATCAGGGAAATTCAAATCAAAACTTCATTGAGGAGGGGGCGGAGCAACATGGCGGCGAGGAGACGCTGCGAGTAAGATCTCCCATTAAAAAAGTTAATAGGGAGGAAAGCGGCAGGTCCCAGTGAGAACTGGGACACGGAAGATAAACGGGTGACTCCAGCAAACTACCCGAAGAAGAAAGTGGCCAGAAAAGAGGACTAGAAGGGAGGGAAGCGCAGAACCCTGCTCCCCTCCCCCGCCCACAGAGGCGGCACTCTCCGACCTGCAGAGAGGCGGGAAACAACAAACTAAAACGACCAACAAGAAGAAACGACGCAGCAAGCGGGACTGTGAGTGGAAAGGAACTATTGCAGCCACCACACCCCGTGAACGGGAGCTGTGGAGAACCCTGCAGGATTCGCCGCGGCGGTGAGCGAACGGCTCCGGGCGCCATTAGAGAAGAACAAAGACCCCGGGAGACGCGCACACAGCCCGGGCTGCCGGTAAGCCTGCGCGGGAAAGCAGCGCGCTCGGGGAGCTTGAAAAGCAAGTGCAGACCGGAATCGCGGCTGCCCAGGTACCCGCGCCTGCGACCTAGGCTTGCGAGGAGACGACCTAGGCTTGCGGGGAGACGCGCGGAGGTCCTCACTGAGGTGAAGGTCCCTCCCTGAGTGAGCAGGAACCAGGCACCGGGCACGGGAGCAGTGCAAAAGGCGCCATTCCCGCGCCACTGAACTGGGCTACAGCCCGCGTCCTGGAACTGAGGGCTTTGAACTGAGACCCGGGGCACGAAAATTCGGGGCATGGGTTCTCCACGACGGTGGGGCACAAGGCAGACACAGCACCCCAAAGCTGTTGAGGTGTACCCTACCATTCCCGCTCTGTTCCCTGTCCCACGGGGTGGGGGGGGCGAAAAACAGCCCCCCAAGGACAATAGGAGAGATCTCTGGCGCCACCTAGCGACCAGGAAAAAAAAGTCACTAACACCCCATAGAACAGGAACTTTCTTAAGACTGCTTGAAAAGGGCAGAAGGCTTCTGCAGTGGCCAGCCGGGAAGTTATTCCACGCCAGGCCCCTTCCGACCAGCAGTCTGAGCCCACAGAGGGAGCAGGCACCCACGTCCGGGGCAGACCGGGTGCGCAGAAGAGTGTGCCTGAAACCGGAGGCACAGGGACTGCATCCCGCTTCGCCATTTGAGAACAGGGACATTTCTTCAGTAAAAACTGCCTAAAACCAGCAGAAAGCTCCCCCAGAAGGCAGAGATGGCTCCTGGAAGAGCCAGAGGGGAGCGGAGAAGTTCACCCAAGATGCCAGTCAGTCCGAGCATCACAGTGTCCCAACGCATACTACAAATTAGAAAACAGACAGTAGGGAGTAGAAGAACCACACGCAACCTAACAACTCCTCAGGAAAGAAGCACACCACAAAAAGAAAACCACTACCCAGATTGCAACGACAGCAACTTGGAAGAACTTCTGAGCCTTCCAGAAAGAGAATTTAAAATTGCCATGATTAAAAAAGTGATAGATCAGAAGAAGGAAATTGAGTCCCTAAAGAGGGAAAACAATGGTCAGAAGAATGAAATTGAGTCCCTAAAGAGGGAAGTAAAAGAAATGCAGGAGATCAAAGAATTAATGGAGGAACTAAACAACTCCGGGAAAAGCAAAGAAAGCAGAATAGATGAAATGGAAGAACGAATAAGTTCTCTTGAAGACACAGAAATAAAAAGAACCAAAACAGAAAAGGAAAGAGAAGTACGAAGGAAAAAGAATGAAGAAAGACTTAGAGAACTATCTGACTCCATGAGGAAAGGAAATATAAGAGTTATAGGAATTCCAGAAGGAGAGGAGAGAGATGTAGGAACAGAGAAAATATTCCAGGAGATAATTGAAGAGAACTTCCCAAATGCGAAGAAGGAGCTGAAAATTGATATACAAGAAGCAAGAAGAACACCAAACTTCCACGACGAAAGGAAAAACACAGCAAGACACATAATAGTAAAGCTCCCAAGAATCCAGGACAAGGAAAAAATAATGAAGCTGACAAGAGGGAAGAAACAGATAACATTCAAAGGAAAACCAATCAGGCTGACATCAGACTTCTCTGAAGAAACACTACGGGCAAGGAGAGAGTGGAGGGACATAGTCAACAGACTCCAAGAAAACAGATGCCAACCAAGAATACTCTATCCCGCAAAGCTCTCTTTCCTCCATGAAGAAAGAATATGGACCTTCCCAGACAAAGAGAAACTCCGGAATTTCATTACGACTAAACCCCCACTCCAAAAAATACTACAAGGAATCCTAAAGCCAGAACCTCAGAGGGACGAATAACAACGAAAGAAGACCAAAAAAAAAAAAAATTTATTAAAAGAATAAATAAAATCAAAGGAAAGACAAACATAATGGCAAATACAGATGCTAACATATCAATATTAACTCTAAATGTAAATGGACTAAACTCTTCAATAAAAAGACACAGAGTTGCAGCCTGGATTAAGAAACAAAACCCAACCTTTCGCTGTCTCCAGGAAACACATTTAGCTACAAAAGATAAAAATAGGCTCAAAGTCAAAGGATGGAAAACAATCCTACAAGCAAATGGGCCAAAAAAGAAAGCAGGAACAGCTATACTTATATCAGATAAAACAGACTTCAAACTCAAAAAAATAAAAAGAGACCCCAATGGTCACTACATTATGATTAAGGGGACAATACTTCAAGAAGAAATAACACTCATTAACATATACTCACCAAACGAAAGAGCACCAAAATATATCAGACAACTGTTGTCCTCTCTGAAAACAGACATCAGAGAAAACACATACGTAGTGGAAGACTTCAACACACCACTATCAACAATGGATAGATCAACAAGACAAAAAATAAGTAAAGAAACTAAAGCTCTAAATAAGGACCTAGAGCATTTGGGCTTAACAGACATCTATAGAACACTAAACCCAAAAAAAACGGAGTACACATTTTTCTCAAGCGCACATGGATCATTCTCCAGGATCGATCACATACTGGGGCACAAGACAAACATCAACAGATACACCAAGACTGAAATCATACCAACCATCTTTTCTGACCACGAAGGCATCAAACTAGAAATAAATCATAAAAAGAAGGCAAGGAACTATCCTACCTCATGGAGATTAAAAGCCACACTACTGGAAGACCACTGGACTAATGAGGAGATCAAAGAAGAAATTAAAAAATTCTTTGAATTGAATGACAAGGAGGACACCAATATCCTAAATGTATGGGATGCAGCAAAAGCAGTAATAAGAGGAAAATATATAGCAATAGAAGCTCACATCAAAAAACAAGAAAGAACTCAAAGAAACAACCTAATCTCGAAGCTCAAAGATCTAGAAAAAGAACAACAAAAAAACCCCAAATCCAGTAGAAGAAAAGAAATAATAAAAACCAAAGCAGAAATAAATGAAATTGAAACTAAAAAAGCAATCCAAAAGATCAATGAAACCAAGAGCTGGTTCTTTGAAAAAATAAATAAAATAGACAAACCCCTAGCCAGGCTCACAAAGGAAAAAAGGGAGAAAGCACAAATACACAGGATCATAAATGAAAGAGGAGAAATCACAACGGACACAGCAGAAATCAAAAGAATAATCAGTAACTACTATGAACAGTTATATGGAAACAAGTTCAACAATCTAGAGGAGATGGACAAATTCCTACAACTCTACAATCACCCAAAGCTAGATAAAGAAGAAATAGAACACCTAAACAGACCAATTACAAGCAGCGAAATTGAAATGGTAATCAAAAACCTCCCCAAAAACAAAAGCCCAGGACCTGATGGATTTACAAATGAATTCTACCAAACATTCAGAGACGAATTAGTGCCTATCCTTCACAAACTCTTCCAAAAAATTGAGAAGGAAGGGACAATACCAAACACGTTCTATGAAGCCAACATTACACTAATACCAAAACCGAATAAGGACAACACAAAAAAGGAAAACTATAGGCCAATCTCCCTAATGAACACTGATGCAAAAATCCTCAATAAAATTTTAGCTATCAGAATCCAACAATGTATCCATAAGATAATTCACCACGACCAAGTTGGATTCATTCCAGGGGCACAAGGATGGTTTAACATCCGAAAATCAATCAACGTTATCCAACACATCAACAAAAAGAAATATAAAAACCATATGATAATATCAATAGATGCTGAGAAAGCTTTCGACAAAGTGCAACACCCATTCATGATAAAAGCCCTTGAAATTCTTGGGATACAAGGAACATACCTCAACATCATAAAGGCCATCTATGACAAGCCAACAGCCAGCATCATTCTCAATGGTGAAAAGCTGAAAGCAATTCCATTAAGATCTGGAACAAGACAAGGATGTCCACTCTCACCACTGCTTTTCAATATAATACTGGAAGTCCTAGCCAGAGCAATAAGACAAGAGAAAGACATCCAAGGAATCCAAATAGGAAAAGAAGAAGTCAAACTATCACTATTTGCAGATGATATGATAATATACATAGAGAACCCCAAAAACTCCACAGAAAAACTAATTCAACTCATCAGTCAGTTC